ATAAGAAGAAAATGAATCTGTGCTACTGCGATTGATTACGAGTCATATCACTTGTCTCCCACCACTAACCACGGTTATTTTAACTAGGTAGTCTGCAATTATCGGACTAACACCTAATTTTCGTTTCGGCAGCCCTATATCTAGGACCCCGATAGGATTACTTTCGGTCCAAAAGCTGGATAAAGGAAGAACGTTGTGCATGTGGTTAGCAACCCATAGACCCGTCGACAACTAACTCGCTAACAAAACATTGACTAGAAAAATAATTTACACCATTTAAACTCTGCCCTAACAGTTGGGAGTTCTTTATTTAGAAGAGTAATGGCGTCTCATGATGAAAGCCGAGTTTCTTCGGAATTTACGAGGCCAATGCCCCTTCTGACAACCACAGCAATCATTAATTTAGACACAGAGAATGTTCACATATTGTGCGAGACCGAGAAAGTCATTCAAGTTGCTGCAGAAATGAAAAGATACAACCTGAAAGTGTTTGGATTCATTGAAACACATTGGGCTCAGGTTGGAAAAAAAGACTAGCTTCAGTAGAGATGCTGTTATACTCAAGCCATCAAAAAAAATTACTCACAAGGAGCTGCACGGATGCCATGCAAAGAAGATCGTAAAGCACTGATAGGATGGGAAATTCATGAACCTAGGATCATTATAGCTTTTTAAAAACAAAAAAGAACAAATTACAATGAACGTCATCCAGTGCTATGCATCTACTAACGATAGCAATGAGAATGTTAAGGTTCATTTCTAGGGGAGGCTGCGGTCAATCGTTGAGAAACACCCAAAAAAGGACTTAACCATTCTCATGGTGGATCTAAACGCCAAGCTGGAATGGACATCAGTGGATATGAAGACATTATGTGACAACGTGGACTGGAAGAAAGAAACGGAAACGGTGGGAGATTCGTGAACCTATCCGCCTTCAACAAAGTACACATCGGCTGCGTCATATTCACATACAAACGCATACAAAAAGCTGCATGGGTTTCACTAGATCACACTATACAGAACCGAATCGACCACATCTGCATCAATAAAACGTTCAGGATGACTATGTAGAACGTAAGAACCAAGAAAGTAGCTGACATAGCTTCGGATCATCACTTGGTAGTAGCAAAAATGAAGGCGAAACTAAAGAAGCACTGAACAACTAGGCGAACATTATCACAACAGTTTAATACGTCCTTTCTTCAGGGTACTGGAAAACTCAACGAACTGGAGATAGCCCTTAACAATAAATTCGAAGTCTTTCACGATCTACTACTCAATGAAGAGAAAACTACCATGGAGAACAAATGGAAAGGGATCGAGAAAGCAATAATGTCAGCATGACATGCGGTTTTGAATCACAAGGAATGGATCTCTGTGGATACCCTGGATAAGATTCAAGTAAGGAGGAACAAGAAGGCGGCAATCAATATCAGCCGAACTAGAGCAAAGAAAGCAAAGGCACAAGCTAAATACACAGAGGCAAACAAAGAAGTGAAAAAGAGTATTGGAAATGATAAGCAGAAATATGTGGAAAACTTAGCAGTAATAGCAAAAAAAGCTGCAGGAGAGGTGAACTAAGTGATACAACTAAGAATCTTGCTGGAAAATGTCATAAACCGCAGAGAGAGACCAGTGAAAAACAAGGAAGGCAAAGTAATCACCGACATTAAGAATGATGCAACAAATGGGTAGAGCAGTTTGAAGAACTTTTAGGTTGACCAATCCCACTGAGCCTACCCAACATTGAAGCAGCACTCATGGACTTCCCAAATGATGTTGTTGACGCATCGACAACTGAAGAAATCAGCATAGCCATCAGATAAATCGAGAGTGGCAGAGCGAAAGATCCAGACCACATACGAGCTGAGGCATGGAAATCGAACAAAGCAGTAACTGCAAAGGTGTTCCACACCGACCTCATCAAGATTCAGGAGGAAAAACAAGTACTAGCAGATTATAAAAAAGTATATCTCATCAAGATACAAAGGAAAAGAGGTCTCAGCAAGTGTGAGAACTGCAAAGGAACTACTCTACTCTTAACATCAGGAAAAGTTTTCAACAGAGTGTTGTTGAACCGAATGAAAAATTCAGTGGACGCCCAACTTTGAGATCAGTAGGCTGAATTCCATAAGGATCGATCGTCTATCAACCAAATCTCGCGCGACAGTACGGATAACTTCGGGACAATCAATTGAATGGAATTCACCGCTACATCAACTTCATTGACTACGAACAAACATTTGATAGCGCGGACAAGATGACGTGCCTGAGAAGATAGTCAACATCATACGGAATTTTTATGATGAACTAAAGTGTATGATCGTGCATGCAGGATAGGTCAGACCCGTTCTAAGTGAAGACCGCTGTCAGGCAAGGTCGCTAGCTTTCACCCTTTCTCTTTCTCCTGATGGTCAAGCGGATTACGAGGAGGTCAACATCTGAGAAGGGGCACGGGATACATTAGTCAGCTCGGATGCGGCTTGACGATTTGCACTCCGCAGATGATCTACCATTCTATCTCACACATAACAAATGCAGGAAAAGATGACCAGTGTAGCAACAACATGTGCATCGGTGGGTCTCAACATACACAAGAGGAAAAGCAAGATCCTCCAATCAACACAGCATGAACCGACTCAATAACACTTGACACAGAAGCTTTGAAAGATGTCGTAACCTTTACATATCTGGGCAGCATCGTTGATGAGCAAGGTGGATCTGATGCAGATGTGAATGAGCGGATTGGCTAAACAAGGACAGCATTTCTACAATAAAAGAACATCAAGAACTCAAAACAACTAGCGACCAGCACCGAAGTCGGAATTTTCAATACAAACGTCAAGCCAATTCTACTGTATCAGACGGAAACTTGCAAAACCATGGAAGCCATCATCCACAAGATGCAGGTGTTTATTAACAGTTTTTTACGCAAAATACTTCGGATCCGTTGGTCAGACACCATCAGCAACAACGTATTGTGGGGGAGAACAAAGCAGACTTCAACTGAGTAAGAAATTAGGTGGTGGATAAGTTACACGTTGAGGAAAACACAACTACGTAACAAGACAAGCCCTCACGTGGAACCCTCAAAGCCAAAGGAGAGAAGGAAGAGTCAAGAACACATAATGTTGCGAATCGGAAACAGCATTTAGGTAGAACTGGAAAGCAAGGTCCAGGCAGAGTAGATAGGAGAATGCTGGTCGTCGGCTTATGCTCCAATGGAGGTCACAGACTTAAGTAATATGTAGTCCCTCTGGCATCAGACACTATAAGCACCTCTATCTTGACGTGGTGGTCGGGCTTGCCTATTGTGATGACCCAAACGAGCTATATTGGCTGGAACATATGTTCCTCAAGGTTCTACCATGCCAGGCAGGTCGACTGGAGAACGATGAGACTAAAAGCAGATACTCAATGTCTGAGGGTGAAGTCGTACTGCTGACTGCAGAGGGGTGTGACAGCAGTAAGGTGTTTCCCTCGGACAGCGATGCTGCCTTCTCACAAGGAAAGAAGCTTTAGAAGAGGTCGACCCTAAAAATGTCACACCTCACGTATTTCCGTCTCAGCCGGTAAGGTTACCCTCTATGGGCTTTTAAGAGTGGAGCTAATACTCAAAAAACCCTTCATAAAAAGACCGTGTGTGACCGGCCTCAAGCAGTTGTCCCTTGGGCTCTGCGGTCACGCATTCAGGTCTCTAAGACCAACACTAATATACCCTCCTTTTCAGGTTCTTCAAGAAACAACCTTCCACGGTGTGGGCAGCCCGGAAGTGACAACCGCCCTCATACCAGTAACAGATCAAATTGGTCAAAATCAAATCCTTCCTACACCCCCTAGTACCTCTCTTATCTCCACGAATAACTCTTCTCCCATTCCTTTATCACACTGCACAGCTAATGCAAACAATGCGAGTTCACGAAACGTCATTTCTGGTCTCCTGAAATCCCGCTCTAGACTACATGTTGGAGCATTTAATGTACGGACACTGTGTCAAATAGGGCAACAGGCTTCGTTAACTAGAACATTAGAATCTCATGCCATCGATGTGTGCTGCGTCTCGGAAACGCGCATACAGGATCCTAGTAAAGTCATTAACCTGATTTCGCCTTGTCAAAACAAAGAAGCAGCCTGATATACTCTTCGTGTATCCGGTAGCCCTGATGCTGCTTTCCGGGGTCTATCTGGTGTAGGTATAGCATTGAGTCGTAGGGCAGAACTAGCGCTCCTAGACTGACAGTTGCGTCTCTGTGCTGATAGGGCATGGCAACCTGAACTGATGTGCTTACGTACGAATTTCTGCGTTGTATCTGTCTGACGTTATTGCTTATATAGGTTGGCCAGGTAATCCATAGCATTAACCTAGTTTAGAACCATTCTGATAACACTAGAGTATTGGTTAGAGATATTGTGAAATGATGAAACTTGGATATGGGTTTTCATGGTGGTTTGTCCTCTTTGTATTGATAATAGTTCATATGATCACATATGACTTATTAGTTCTGATGTCGAAAACAACACTTTTCCATTGTCCCAGTACTAATCCCTACAAAGCACTTCCAATCCATATATCCGTAAACATAAGTTTTATGCTCATTCATTGAGTAAGCCCGCCAACATTTTCGTTTGCCAAAATACACTTGCAAAGTACAGTCTAAAGTTCTTTTTAATACCTCGAAAGAGATATAATTACTGCTCAAAGATTTAACTCAACAGTCGAGTATGCATAAAATTTCGAGACCAAAACACCGCACTCGTTCGGAACAGTACAGGTAATAAGATTTGGAAAATTCGGATTCTAAGGTGTTTGAATATCGACAACACGACCGAAGGTACAGTTGAGAGAAAAGTACGGCCCTCAATTATAATAAGTTACAAAATATATGCTGTAAACTTGTGGACAACACGTGGCTATCAACCAGGTACTAACAATTAAGGAAATTAATCAAGCGCAGGTTGTACAGGATGCACAAAGTCTTATTAAAAAGCCCACTTATTAATTAATAAAGATGACGAGAATTTTACTACAATTAAAGAAAGTAGATTAAAGTATCCGACAAATTACCAATATATTTAGGAATCGCGATGCATCACAGGTCTCTAGATAACTTATAATACTTATTACTATTAAGTAGTAAGAAACAATTCCGTTAGAAAATGCGAAACAGCTTTAATACCAGTATAGTGAAGGCGATAACGTTAATGTCACTTGAAATACAGTGATCCTCTTTAAAAAGCCGCGTACAATTAGATGTAATATTTCCGTTTTCTACAGAGAATACAAAAATACGGTCATCATGAACTTTTCTTTGCTATACGTTATCGTATTTCAAAGATTTCATGCCTAGTGTTAACACCACACGAACATACATAAATATACTAAAAAACATTATGGAACGCCTATTATGTTGGATCATCAAGTGAGTTTTGGTATGACAGATCATAACTCAGTCAGATGCAACGTCGAACTTTGTACGTAAGTACATCAGTTCATGTTGCCATACCACATCAGCACACAGATGTAATTGTCGATTCAAATCCAATAGTAGAAGAGGTAGTAAAGGTATTAGAAGTAATCGGAGAAGTTAGGATTAGAAGATATTATTCAAGAAGTATGATTCAGTGAGATAAGTTTAGAAAGTCAAAACTAGAGCTGTTGAAGAACCCAAAAGATTAGGATTTGAGAGAACACAAAGAATAAATGCACCGGCGACATTGCGAACGATTTTGAGCCATGTCATTCAAGGTCTCTAGCCATCGATTATTATCATCTCGCGGACCCCAAACAGGTAGTCGACAATTACCGACATGGCTAAGTCCACTCGTCAATGACTTCATGGATTTCTGCCATGTTTTGGTCTGGCCGCCCCTAACTTTCTTCCAACCTACTCCTACACTACAAAAAAAAGTTCGTCGAGGCAGTCGGTGGTTGGGCATACGCAACACATGTCCCAACCACCTCAACTGATGAAGTTTCGCCACTTAATCGATTGATCTGCCATCCTTGCCTAGTACTCGTTTCCTAACGACAGCATTGCTTACTCGGTTGTCCCACGGTATACGAGCAATGCTTCGAAGACACCTATGATCGAAAACCAGTAACCTACGAATATCTTCTACTCTAACTGGCCATGTTTCACAGCCATATAGGAGAACGGGGTGAACTGCTGCACAGTACACTCGTCCTTTGATTAGAGAACGGATATCACGCCTACGCCATAAGTGACGCAGGTTGGCAAAAACCAATCGAGCCTTCTGTATCCGTGCTGAGATTTCGTCAGTCACCAGGCCATCGGCACTGATGAGACTCCCAAGATAATTGAAGCGGTCTACACGTTCGACTACTTCACTCCCTATCACTAGTTCAGGTGCCGATGCAACCCAATCTTGAAACAACATTTTGCATTTCGATGGGGAAAACCGCATCCCGAAATGCTTGCATTGTTGCTTAGGGTAGTCAGAATAATCTGCATTTTGTCAGCGTCTTCACCAAGTAGGACTATATCATCGGCATATTCTACTAAGTCAATAAGCGAGCCACCAAGTAAAAGGTCTGAACTCCTGAAAATTCAGACGAGGATAAGGTTATTTCTAGGAGCATGTTTATGATAAAATTAAACAAGAATGGAGAAACTGGCAGATCATAAACTAAAGCTGATTCCATCATAAAATTGTTGTATCAACTGTGAAATCTTGTTTAAAATATGAAATGATTAACTGAATGAACTTTATGTCCTAACATCATCATACTTAAAAACTTGGCCAAGGTTATTATTTATTAATTCCTGTTTTTTTTTCTTTGTTTACTACTTATTTATAATAAACTAGTCGATATTAGTGTTTTTGTCTATCTCTTCGTAATATTCAAATGTTTTTTTTTTAAAAAAATATATTATTTAGCTTACAATTGTGCACAATTGTCCAAAGCACTTCATTATCTACTATATGATTTACCTAAACAAAACACTGACCAATGATAATGATGTATGAAATTCAATGAAACACATTTAAATTAATTTTCCAATTGAATTGAAATAACATTTTTTTAACTCAGTATTTTTTTTTTGTAATATTTTATTTGTTTATTTATCCGATTATTTTTTTAAAATACTTTCACACATTTGAAATCATTAATCAATCATCATTGTTAGACCACCATTAGAAACCTGGAAGCACTGGACGGCCGTTTCGTCCTAGTATGGGACTCCTCAGCAGTGCGCATCCACGACTCCTGCTCCTCGCAGGATTCGAACCCGGGACCTTTGGCATTGTAGGCGAACGCCTTACCATCGGACCTCTGGGCCGGCATCCAACGGTGTTAATGTCTAACTCTGATTGATCTAGGGATTTTTGCGAGACCTCACCCATTTGTCTTTGGTAGTTACTGCCTACACCCGACAGGGTTGAACTCCACTGGTCACGTCTTCTCAACTAGAACTCCGAGAATTTCCTCACGAAGCTAGTCACTAGTGAGCACTGTTACATTATATTGGGGCACAGTTTTGGAGGTTTGCGTTTTTACACATTTGAAATCATTAATCAATCATCATTGTTAGACCACCATTAGAAACCTGGAAGCACTGGACGGCCGTTTCGTCCTAGTATGGGACTCCTCAGCAGTGCGCATCCACGACTCCTGCTCCTCGCAGGATTCGAACCCGGGACCTTTGGCATTGTAGGCGAACGCCTTACCATCGGACCACTGGGCCGGCATCCAACGGTGTTAATGTCTAACTCTGATTGATCTAGGGATTTTTGCGCGACCTCACCCATTTGTCTTTGGTAGTTACTGCCTACACCCGACAGGGTTGAACTCCACTGGTCACGTCTTCTCAACTAGAACTCCGAGAATTTCCTCACGAAGCTAGTCACTAGTGAGCACTGTTACATTATATTGGGGCACAGTTTTGGAGGTTTGCGTTTTTACACATTTGAAATCATTAATCAATCATCATTGTTAGACCACCATTAGAAACCTGGAAGCACTGGACGGCCGTTTCGTCCTAGTATGGGACTCATCAGCAGTGCGCATCCACGACTCCTGCTCCTCGCAGGATTCGAACCCGGGACCTTTGGCATTGTAGGCGAACGCCTTACCATCGGACCACTGGGCCGGCATCCAACGGTGTTAATGTCTAACTCTGATTGATCTAGGGATTTTTGCGCGACCTCACCCATTTGTCTTTGGTAGTTACTGCCTACACCCGACAGGGTTGAACTCCACTGGTCACGTCTTCTCAACTAGAACTCCGAGAATTTCCTCACGAAGCTAGTCACTAGTGAGCACTGTTACATTATATTGGGGCACAGTTTTGGAGGTTTGCGTTTTTACACATTTGAAATCATTAATCAATCATCATTGTTAGACCACCATTAGAAACCTGGAAGCACTGGACGGCCGTTTCGTCCTAGTATGGGACTCCTCAGCAGTGCGCATCCACGACTCCTGCTCCTCGCAGGATTCGAACCCGGGACCTTTGGCATTGTAGGCGAACGCCTTACCATCGTGGATGCGCACTGCTGAGGAGTCCCATACTAGGACGAAACGGCCGTCCAGTGCTTCCAGGTTTCTAATGGTGGTCTAACAATGATGATTGATTAATGATTTCAAATGTGTAAAAACGCAAACCTCCAAAACTGTGCCCCAATATAATGTAACAGTGCTCACTAGTGACTAGCTTCGTGAGGAAATTCTCGGAGTTCTAGTTGAGAAGACGTGACCAGTGGAGTTCAACCCTGTCGGGTGTAGGCAGTAACTACCAAAGACAAATGGGTGAGGTCGCGCAAAAATCCCTAGATCAATCAGAGTTAGACATTAACACCGTTGGATGCCGGCCCAGTGGTCCGATGGTAAGGCGTTCGCCTACAATGCCAAAGGTCCCGGGTTCGAATCCTGCGAGGAGCAGGAGTCGTGGATGCGCACTGCTGAGGAGTCCCATACTAGGACGAAACGGCCGTCCAGTGCTTCCAGGTTTCTAATGGTGGTCTAACAATGATGATTGATTAATGATTTCAAATGTGTAAAAACGCAAACCTCCAAAACTGTGCCCCAATAAAATACTTTCATCACATTTGTGATTATGACTTGTTTCAATTACGTTCGATAAATAATAAGCTAAAATGTGTCAGTTCACTTAGTTAAAAACCACGTTCAGTCTATCGAATTGAAATGAATGTGTGCTTAAGTGACATTTTCATCAAATAGCTTTAATATAATTACTATTATTATTAGTTATGAACAGAATGTAGAAATAAGGTTAACATAGCTTTTTTTTTCTCTGAATTTTCAACCGCTCTTGTTGTCTGCAATTGTGAATCTTATCGCATGCAAATAATAACATGACATCGAGGTACTGACAGTTAAACAGTGAAACTGTTTTTGTATCGTATCATACTGACTGACTGACTTTCTAGCTAATATGTACATAGCCTGTATATGAATGGATTCTTTACTAACAACATCGACCCCAGCTATTTTACTTACAATCGGGCTTGTTGAATGATCGATCTGTCATTCCCGATAAATAGCTGGGTGCAAAAGGTAACCAACCAGTTCATTAGGATTTTAAAAGGCGAAAACACTAAACACTTTGGCGTTTTATACCGTAATGAATCAACTTCATCGACTACGAGAAAGCGTTCGATAGCTTCGACAGGGAAACACTATGGAGGCTTCTTCGACACTACGGTGTGCCTGAGAAAATAGTTAACATCATACGGAATTCTTTGAATGGATTCAACTGCAAAATCGTACACGAAGGACAGCTAACAGACTCTTTCGAGATGAAGACCGGTGTCAGGGAAGGTTGCTTACTCTCACCCTTTCTCCTTCTCCTGGTGATCGACTGGGTTATGAAGACGTCGACATCTGGAGTGAAGCACGGTATCAACTGGACAGTTAGGACGCAGCTGGACTTCGCAGATGACCTGGCTCTTCTATCTCACACGCAACAACAAATGCAAGAGAAGACGACCAGTGTAGCAGCAACCTCTGCAGCAGTAGGTCTCAACATACATAAAGGAAAAAGCAAAATTCTCCGATGCAACACAACATGCACCAACCAAATCACTCTTGATGGAGATGCCTTGGAGGACGTTAACACCTTTACATATCTGCGCAGCATCATCGACAACCATGGTGGACGCAAGGGCTGCGTTTCTACAGTTGGAAAATATCTGGAACTCCAAACAACTTTCAAACAAAACCAAAATCAGGATTTTCAATACAGATGTGAAGACAGTTCTAGTGTATGGAGCGGAAACTTGGAGAACTACGAAAGCCATCATCCAGAAGATACAAGTGTTTACTAACAGCTGTCTACGCAAAATACTTCATATTCGTTTGCCGGACACGATCAGCAACAACGTACTGTGGGAGAAAACAAACCAGATTCCAGTGAAGGAGGAAATCAGGAAGAAGCGGTGGAAGTGGATAGGACACACATTGCGGAAAGCACCTAACTGCGTCACGAGACAAGCCCTCACATGGAACCCTCAAGGTAAAAGCCAAAGAGCAAGGCTAAACAGCACACTACGCTGAGAAATAGAGAAGGATATGAGAGGAATGAACAAACATTAGACAGAACTGGAAAGAGAAGCCCAGGACAGAGTTGGTTGGAGAAAACTGGTGGGCGGCCTATGCTCCATTGGGGGTAACAGGCGTAAGTAAGTAAGTAAGCAAGAATCTGAAGGTGAATGCTTGCAATTAAAGAAATAAAACTGACATATACACATAAACTTTTACTGATTCTTTAGCATACCCATTACTATTGAAAGACATAACAATCAACTAGTAATCGTAACATTTGCAAACAAGAAAATTACTGTTTTATCATAGCACACATGTTTAAAATTGTAATCACCGGCTAGTCAATAAATAAGAGAATAATATATATTCATTCATATTATTAGTTAATCAAATCATTTTTATATTCCATAGTAAAAAGTAAAGGTCGGTTACATTTTACATGGACAATATCACTCAACAGATGGTTCGATGAGGAAACAATATCATCAAACGAAAGAGTATCGTTATCTATATTAAATGAAAGTAGGAAAAACAATAACATAGATACTTTTAATATATGTACTATACATGAAAAAAAATTGTTAAGTTTGATTTGTTACAAAACTATGCAAGCAAAACAAAGTCCTAATATGAGTAAACATTCACATAAATAATATTTTGTCTGTAACACTTATTCAGATCCGTGACTATTGTTTATCTAAACAATAAGAACTGTATTGTTTAAGTTGGTCATTACCAATGGGGCCCGGGAGCTGCATTGCATGATCTATCTAATGTGTTTTTCTGATTGTATGATCGATTTTTTTGTTAAATTGATCAAGTAAGTGATCATCTTACAGATGCTTGCTTTAGTGTAGTACCACATTCTGATTGTTATCATTATTAGTATAAGAATTTATAAGAGATCAAAAAGAAATATCCATATGGAGCTATAATTTAGTAGTGTAAGCACTCCATTCAAAAGTCCCGACCGTAGCTGCTACCTTGACGTGGTGGTCGGGCTTGCCTATCGTGATGACCCAACCGAGCTATACTGGCTGGAACATATGTTCCTCAAGGTTCTACCATGCCAGACAGGTCGATTGGAGAACGATGAGACTAAAAGCAGCTACCCAAGGTCTGAGGGCGAAATCGTACTGCTGACTGCAGAGGGGTGTGACAGCAGTAAGGTGTTTCCCTCGGACAACCAGCATCTGCAGCGATGCTGCCTTCTCACAAGGAAGGAAGGGTTAGAAAAGGTCGGCCCTAAAAGTGTCACACCTCCCCTAACTCACGGTTTTCCGTCTCCTTGTGTAAGGGTGCCCACTAAGGGCCTTTAAGAACGGAGCTAATCCTCAAAAAACATTTCTTAAAAAGGCCGTGCGTGACCGGCCTCAAGCAGTTGTCCCTTGGGCTCTGCGGTCACGCACCAACACTAATCTATCTTCCTTTTCAGGTCCCTCAAGAAACAACCTTCCACGGTGTGGGCAGCCGCGAAGTGACAACCGCCCTCATACCCGTAACAGTACCCGTAATCCATTCAAAAGTATATGATTGTAACCGAAGCTCATTAAGTCCTCTCTAGTTTGAACAATTTAGCAATATGTTGAGCTTTACCACCGTAAGCGAGACTCATACCCAAAAGCGAAAACCTCTACTTGTTAAATCATATTACTATTTTGAAAACAATTATCATAGATGGCGACAATGTTAACTTGTTAGTCCTGTATGACTGATAATTGCTATAAAGGTGAATTTTATTCAGATACTGTATACACTACTAATGTCAATAAACGTACGATAAAGACCGATACTGGAAAAAACCAAAGGTGAATACAGTTGTCGTGATGAATTACTGTATAACAAATTAGAGTCTAAGAGGCATTGTAAATTTTCGGTAAATATGGTGTAGCTTACAGGGACCCTACCGTCCAATTGTAGGTGGAACAGAAAGTTATGGTCCGTGCATGAAAAGTTACATGCCTGCTTGGTCTACGCAAACGATGTCAAAACGGTGTGTGCATGAACTAATACACAAACTAAACGATTTTAAGGTTTTAAAGTAGGTCTTAGTAATTCTTTGGTTAAGTATGTACCAAATAACGTTTTGTGTTATCTATCTATCTATAGCTTAAATATACTTTAAATCTCGTCTCTACTTTATCTTGCTACTTAAGTTGTAGGTTTTTCCACGTTGGTGACACATATAACTTGTATCTAAATGTAAACTCTACGTCTTATCAACAGTATGTTAATGGTAATATTACCGCAATAAATATCTAAAACAACGAGGATTACCTAAGTTCCATTGAAGACCTGTAGTTGTTACTTGACATGGTTGTCCAACAGGGATTAGACCTACATGTTGTGCTTCATACCCCGTGTTAGCATATATAGTATGTTCACCCTGAAAGGTGTTATTAATTAGATCAAACGGTATCTAAAAATGAATGCTTACTTCATCCAACAAAAATGTGACTGAGCATTCACTCACTAGAAGCAACGGAATGTTAGTAAGTCGCTTTGTTTCATATAGCGTTTTAATTAATCCCATTTCATGATCGAATCTTCCACCACTCATCTGCACTGCAACAAGAACATCTACTTTCACCTGAACGCTAAAAATAATCGTTTAACTATACACGACTTGCATTATTTTGTTTTATGTTACTGATAATTGTACGTACACACTTTGTAAAATCAGTTTCATCTTGATCAGGTGTCTCAATAACCGAAACGTTTTTCTGATAATAATGGCTGAAATATTACGTGGAATGAAAAATCCTACTGTTGAACGGTAAAATTCTAGAACTTCTGGTTGAATGGAATCAAAATCTCCAGTTAAGAAATGAGGGAAATAATTATCTCTGTAATTTACATCTTCGTAGATTTGGTTTGCAAACCCATCTACAAAGGCCACAGGGTAAGCTGAATAAGCAATAACAATAGTATAAGTAGATAATACCATTTTTCCATAGTCGTTCAAAAAGTGTCTTCGGTAAAAATGTTGGATGATTTAGGTAAATAACAGCTTTGTTTATATCTGTAAGTGGATATCAGCAATTTTCGTCTTCTTACGGTTTTTAAATACAGACAGAGGTGTGTAGATCATTTCTCTCTGCAACGATACGAAAAGTAAAGTTAGAAAAGACGTATTGTTTCTAAATTAGTAAGATCATAAAGAATAATCGAAAACTGCTGCTCACAAGAAACTAAAGCGAGATATAACTCTATCGAATATAGCCGCTCGCATATAAACGTGTGGGTATAAAATAAACATATGAATACTGCATGAGAAAATTCCCGAATAATATTCAAAAAATTCAGATAAGATAATTATGATCTTAACAAAAGTCAACATAGAGTAAAAAGCAAGCATGTGGTAATCATGATATAACATATAAGATCATAAATATAAAAATCTGAATGCCGCTCCGACCTGTCAGACTACATAACTTTCGGTTAATGACAACTAATGATATCCGAAACACTAGAAAATACTAAGTCAAGGTGAGAACGCATCTTCTTCAGAAAAATCATAAACCACACAGTATTCTATATAAGCCAAAAGTACGAATCAGCGGCTATGCTATGACCTACATACAAGCGAAATAACTAAATGCAGAAGACCACATCTCTTTCTGTTTACGCATGATTGTCTACAGGTGGTCATCAAAAAAGACTTTGTTAAGAGCATCAAAAATCCACGTTCAATTGTTTGCTTTTGAAAATTGGCCTCCAAAATTGCTTTAAAACTATTGAGATTTACCTAAATGGGATATTATAAGACAAAATCGGCTTGTTTGGTACATGTTATTTAGGGAGACGTAGTTAGGTACATGATACATTTAAAATTTTGAAAACCATGAGCATTATATTGGGGCATTACTATTTTTTTTAGGTGCAATACTTGAATCTCAGATTTTTTGGTCCCTACAGCATACCTTCACGATGACGACTTTCCTAGAGCCGGTGTAACGCGTTCTCTAATTTTCATCCCCATCCGAAGGTCGTCGCTAACCTCCAATATCCAATATCTTTTCCACAAGCTAATAAAAACCTTTTGATTTCTTTGCGCTCGATTCTTGTTCTTTCGGTACGGTTCAAGTTGTCTGTTAGTGTCCAATGAATGGGGGTCTAGCCACTCAACTGCCTAATTCTTAACAGTTGACAGTCGGTTGTGAGTTTGTATTTTCCGTTATCTGAATGAAAACGTTTGTTTCAGGACAGTAGCTTTTCTGGATACCAGCAGCTATCACATTACCAGAGTTAGCTGCAGTCTGGAGAATAATAAGGAGAAAATTCTAATGCCACTGAGCAGAGGATTTTAGAACTAGGTAAATAAACAGATTATTAAGTTTATAAATTGGTGGTGAAGATTGTCAGAGAGGACTGAAGTGTAAGCAAGGGAGAGGAGACAGAGAGAGTAGGCACGATAGATTGGGTTGGTGATCTGAGGAGAGTGGTGGTGACGCATCGGTGATATGCTCACTTTGGAATGGTTTTTCGTGCTTGATATGTACGCCATAATCAGATCACTTCTGATTCTCCTGTATCTCAGTGGGAATAATCCCAAGTGCTGGATCCTAACGTCGTAAGGTTTACTCTTCAACCGTATTACCCATTTCGTTGTTCGTCTCTGCACCCAATCCAAGAGAGTTATGTCTCTTTTAAGCAGAGTGGGTACGATGACGTTGTGAACCACCAGGTGTGGGCGCGCGTATGTCCTAAATAATGTTAAGAATAATTCTGGGGTGATAGCACTAAGTTGTCTTCACATAAAGTAAAGAGTCGCTGGCTACGTCCCCTACATTGTTCGGCCTCGTGTGCAGAGATCGTCCTCTCAGGAGACATCAAGTAGCGGACTTCTACTGAGAGTGTTAATAGTTCGCTTCATGTGGGGCAGAATTTACGTGAAGTGACACTTCGGTTGGTTGAGTTTTAAATCGTTTTTCACTGCCCGTGCCTCAATGGATGTAAGGTCTTTTTGAAACTCAGTTGAATCCTCTTCGGTTCTAATGAACATGCAGTGCCGCCGAGCTAACCTTGTCTAACAGATCTTTAATTAATATTAGGAAGAGAAGTGGACCTAAGATGGTCCTCTATGAAACTCCCGATGTCGTGACTCGCCAACTCGCGTGCACTCTATTGTAGAATCCATTCTGAAGGCTTCGTTTTCGGGAAGATCCCTAAATGTATATATTTTTGTTATGATCTTGATGACTATTTCTCTTCAATATTTTGGTACTCTGTTTAGTCCCAATTTGGGATTTTAATATTTGCATTTTGTTATAATTCCTATTTTTTGTACTTTTATTGGAGTTTATATGGTTCCTTATAAACTGTAAATGTGTTGTTTAAATTGATATTTAATATGGCTGCAGCCAATTCGGATTTGATACCTCTGTGGTAATTTCGGATACTTGATTGAAAGGACGCATTTTTCCAGAATTGGAAACTCATTGCGTTGATTTAGGATCGGAACAGTACAATATTGTTTAGGTAGTTGTCTATATTCCTTTTTTGATTAATAATAGAACCGTTCTTACCCAGAAAACTTGTGTTTTGGAACTGGATAGGGCAAAGCGCGTATCTGACTTCTAACTGTTTCCGAAATCTAGATTCGCTGAAGTGAATTTTCTATACTCTTTACCTTGGTGTGAAACTTTTTATTTTCAATGTAGTTTTTGAACGAAGATAGAAGTGAGTCAGTGAAGCTCATTTTCTCAACTGTCACAATTAGGTGTGCGTAGGGTAATATATCGAAGGCTTTTGCTGCAAAAGGTCCAAATGTCCCATGCTAAGACAAAATTGGGTGCGCACAAACTGCCTTTCCGAAACCAGTGTTCAGCTTCTTAGAGTATTATGTTCTTATCCATGTACTCCCTCGTTTGTTCGTTCACCACCCCTTCCATTACTTTTGATATTACAGGCCTGTGACAGGCTGGATCCTCCCTATCTCCACCCTTGAGGATTGGAGAGAGTAGCTTGTTTCCATTCAGCTGGGAGTTGATTTCACTCCAGTGAATGCCTGAACAGTTCACACATCGGTGAACTGAGGGTTTCTGCGCATTGTTTCAAGACTATGGGGCGAATATTGTCACAACCTGATGACATTCCTGGACGTAGGGCTCTTAGTTTCGTTAGTACTATATCAGGAGTAATACGGATATTTCCTAAGTCGCTAGCTTGCACTGGGTTTTCGTAGTGTTCTGAACATTTAGATGCCTGGTTTAACTGATCAGTGAAATTTCTGCTGAAGATCTTAGCCATCGCTATGTTGGCGAGGTCTTCCCGTTCGGACATTTGAGAGAACACAAACCCTGGTTCGTAAGTTTTGTTTTAGTCATGAACCTAAACAGATGCATAGTCTTTGCCTGTATTTTAGCAGCAAGCTTCATCTGCAACCGCCTTCTATCACCGAGAACTTTGGTATTGCATCTCTTTGTCAATGCCAAGTAAAAACTACTATCAGAATCCTTCGAAGAGACCTTCTACTTGCGCCAGGCTCTCCTCTTCACCAGTATCAAGCGTTCAGTGCAGCACCTAACCCATGTCCCTCTATTAACGGTTGTGTGGTGAGACTGGGTTAAATTTCTAAGGACAGCATTCTGGATGATGTCTTTCTTTGTTTGCCAGTGACCATCTACCACCACTCCCGTGGCCATGGGGCATGTAGGAGGATCTCTCTCATACGCGTATAATTTGCCCTAGTGTAGCAAAGATAGGGCTCGTTTTCGTTCCACCTGAGTGTTTCGTTTATGAGTATGTTAAACAAGATTGTGCCATGGTCACTGCTTCCTACTGGTGTATGGACTTGAACAGCCCCAACCAGGAGCTGACCGTTTGTTAACAAATAATCCAAGTTTGAGGACTTTCATTCCTTAGTCCATCTAGTGGCACTGCGTACGTGGTCATTAAACCCAGAGCTTATGATGGCTGCGCCGAGTCGTCTCTTGAACCGACCAGTAAGAGTTGCACTCTGGTTGCTAGGATTTAGAGGTGGGGTATTGAAATCTCCGGCTAAGAGTATTTGATCGAAACCCGAGAGTGGAAGTTGCAGTATTGCCTCATTAAGTTTGTCTTTCCGGGCCTTAGTACTTGAGGGAGGATGACAAATCCCTCCAATCAGGTATTTCGTGCCATATGTGTGCAAACAACAACATGGTTCTGTCACTTCAGTAAGTTGGGTGTCGTATAGCCGCTCATCTTTCAAGTAGCTGTTTAAGTATATATATATATATATATATATATTATATATATATATAGCCACCCTGCCTCCTGTTCAGTGTACCTTGTCTCTTCGGAAGAGTGCCGTGCCTGGCAAGCTCACTTCATCGTCTGCAGTGTCAGGGAATCGCCATGTTTCAATTTGCACTATGATCTTCAGATACATCTGAGAGTACATATCCCTGATTTCTAACAGCTTAACCCTTAGTCCTCTTACGTTGCTACAGAGGCACTTGCTGGTTTGTTTCAGCACCTGGTGCACCTCTGCAGCAACAGCCGTTGTCAGATGATTTTCAAACAAATTGTTTAAACAGAGTTGGCCAGTTCTGAGGGAACTTACCTCTGCAGGGTTTTCACCTGTTCAGTGATTTCGATCGGCGAGGACAGGTCGTTCTTCGAAATGAACCAAGCTTGAAGTGCCTCAGTCAGGTCTTCCCGATTCCTGAGTTCCACAACCATCAGACGTGGTGACTTAATGGACGTGAGATTTGAAGGGCGAGACATCCTAGAAATGTAAATGGCCATCGTGGTTTGAAGGCCCAGGTTACGTGATATCCACCGTCACTGTTGCACATCATGCAAGTGAGCTTCATACAAGCTACCACCATCCGATTCGGGCACGCTGCCAACTACTATGCTGGTCTGCTCTTGGTTGCCTGGCTGCTTCTCGTTCTGACCACAGTTTATTTTGCCTGATGCTGATCGAAGAGTGTAAGATGTGGTAGCAACCTTATTACTTAACATGATACTTGAGAGATTTGGTGAGAAAAAGCAAGATAATTGAGAGAGGAAATTACGCGAAATAGGAGTTTTAGAAGGAGGAATTTAGTAGTATATAAATATAACTACGAAAGAATAAAACCTGAAAGTACTCCATAATTGCGACTTAACAGTTAACTGTCATAGTTAGCAACTTTGCGTCGATCTGAGTATTTTGTCCACAAGCCCTGTATTTCCTAGTCAATTAGTGTGTATGTTGCCGAAGCAACTAGGAAGACAGCAGTTGATGAAAACATCTAGTCCTATTGAACAGTGGTTCTGACTTGGAATGATTCCGTTTGTCTGAATTTGTACTCAGTCTGTCAACCAGTGAATGCAGACAACTTTGATATTTCTGGAGTGATCAAATATCCCAATCTGGAGTCAGAAAATGAATTGTATCCTGTAAATGGAGGGAAGTGAACGAGGCCATGTTAACTTAAAATCGTCGCACTGCTAACCTGATATCTTATTCACGTGTTAGTAAAAACTAGTTGATTACTTTGCTCTTCATTCTTGTTCTTTCAGTACAGTTTCAGGTGTCTGGTAGAGCTCAATGGATGGGGGTCTAGCCACTAGACTGTCACAATCAAATCACCTCTGAGTCTCCCAAAAATCAGAAGAAATAATTGTAAGTGTTAGAGTCTGCCTTAGTAACGCTTATTCTCTAAACGAGTTATTGAATTAATTGCTTGGGTCTGCGCACGCTCCAAGAAATACATGTCTCTTTTAAGCAGACAAGGTACGACAACGCTATGAACAATTTTGGGGCGATAGCAACAATTTGACTTCATGAAAAGAGAAAAGATGAATTGTCTCAGTTGCATCCACCACATAGTTTGAGCTGGTATTCTGTTCTGGTCTTAAACAATTTTTCACCGCCCACTTCTCAATAGGTGTAAGGTTCATTTGAAGCCCAGTTTTATTGTTCTCACTTTTAAGCACCTCCAGGTCTAAGCTTCGTCTGCGTGGATGGCTCCATGGGTAACAGCTGGTGTTGAGACCTGCCAGCTCACGTGTGCTGTATTTAATCCGGTTCGACTTTTCTATTTTCAAAGTGATCCGCAAGCCTAGATAAAAGTTGTTCAGTAGAGCCGATTTCCGCAACGTAAGCGCTGAAAGATTTTACGACGTAGAAATAGATAATTTACTCACTTACTAACCTGCTTATTTATTTACTTACTTACTTACACCTGCTATACCCGATGGAGCATATGCCACCGACCAATATTCTCCAACCTACTCTGTCCTGGGCCCCCCTTTCCAGTTCTGTTCAAATTTTTTCCATTCTAATGTCTGTCCCCATTTGTCAGAGTATTGTGTTCATTGGCATTCCCCTTTTCTTTTTCCCTTCATTATTTCAAGTAAGGACTCATTTTATGACGCAGATGGCAGCTCTCCGCTGTGTCTCCTATCCACTTCCACCGTTTATTCCGGATTTGCTCCTCTGCTGGAATCTGGTCTGTTCTCTCCTACAGCAGGTTGTCGCTGATGGTGTCTGGCCAACGGAATCTCAGTATTTTGCGTAGACAACTGCTAATCAACACTTCTATCTTCTGGATGATGGCTTTAGTAGTTTTCCAAGTTTCTGCTGGAAGTTAGTGTGACTCTCGGTCGCAAACAAGTAAATTGAGGCCACTGCACACTGTTTTAGAACTACAGGGCAAATAATGTCATATCCCGACAACTATCCTGGGCACAACGATTTAGGTATATTTGCTGGTAAATCAGGGGTGAGTTGGATATTTCCCGAGCCATCAGCTGACACTAACTTTTAGTAGTTCTCTGGAAGAGTAAGTATCAGTCTTAACTGATCGATGAAGTTGATGTTAAGGATCTCACTCATCTGTAAGTTGATAAGATCTTCGTTATTTGGACCTCTGGGAGCAAAAACATTCTCATACGCATGTTTCCCTCTGGTCACGAACCTAAATATACTGAATGAAAAATGTCAAAAACAAATCAGAATTTATCACGGATAAATTAGGGACCTTTAATTAGCAAGTCTTTACTTGATTTAAGACTACATGCATAGACTTGATCTTTGAAGCGGCTAATAGCCATTGATACTAACCAGGAACATATGCAAGAGTGGTTAAGCACCTGGAATGCAGAAAAGCTGACAGCAGAATAAACTAAACCCCAGGCTCTTGGGAGACCATGTCATACAAACAGGTCTCCGAGCTTGCTATGTTATTCAAGATATCGCTTGGCGGAGGTGATTATCCTCTTGACGAGGAGGATGCGAGTTTCTTTTCTGTTGGTTAGATCGGGTTTGGAAAATGAACGAAAAATCATGTTCCTATTGGCCTTATTATTTTGATATTTAGAAGTGTGAAAATGATAATACAGAATTTCATCATGACATTTATGAAAACAAGCAACTGCTAGAAAGGCAAAACTAAGGTCCTTGGGGACAGATATCGTCTACTACAAATCTCCTAGTGTCGAGTAGTAGATAGACGAAGACTCTGAATGATTGTAAGTTGGAGTACTTCGTCGACGGCTAATTTAGGAGGTCTGCCGATAAAGTACCTCATGACAGACACCAAATCAATGCGGAAAACCCAGGCACATACCAGCCCGTGCTTAGGCAGATTATAGATTTGTTAAACGCGAAAAAGCATTCTAGATTCTCTTTATGGAAATCAATACCTTTTGGAAAGCCACGTGGCTCCGTTTGAAAGCGTTTATAGTTCACGTTAATAATTTTCGTTTGGTGACAAATTTCCGTTTCTGCTATTCAATAATATGGTCATCATTTGGATGGAAATAGCCGAAATGCCAGTGTAAGGGCCTTCTAGAAAAATCTGGGTGTCTTTGTAGAAGGATAGACCATGTGGGCATGCTGGTCGATACAGTGAAGCGTACTTACTGCACACTGAGTACGCAAATGTCAACGTTCACCCATTCATTTCAACAGAAACCTAATTGGACACCTTGTAAGTAAGGCCTCAAAGTTATACTCGGACGGCACCATGAACAAACAGCTGCTGCTTATGCAAAATGTTTCAGCTGAGAGAAGTTACCCACAAAGTTCTCTGGAGTGTCATTAGCATACAAGGGACAGAAAAATACAGATATCGAATATGAACTGGTAGCCCCTTTCATGAAACTACAATCTAATGGAGATACGGCGGGTGACGTAATCTGGGATATAGTGACTAAAGCGAGAAAGTTAGTAAGAATCCCTCTCCGTGTTTGGGATGGGTCATAATCAAAACAATTTGCAGCTCGGCTCTTCTACACTTTATCGACAGTTCATCAATGTGGATTACTTATATTTCGCATCAAAAAGTAGATCCAAGAAATTGGGATTATGAAAACTAACAAAATCTTTCGAACCTCCAACCCAGAAAGAAAGTTCGCGCTGGACTTAGAGTCCTATGTTTACCAAGAAACTTCTAAAACAGTTTAAACTTATTTCTCTTCAATCTTCAAAGCAGCCGACCTGGAAAATTCAACTTGTTACAGATCAATCGCCACACTCAATACTGCCGGAAGAACTGGGAGGTATAGCCTATGACCAAATAAGGGAACACATAGACAAAATCACTGCTATCCATAAAACTCAACATCTGTGGATAAGTATAGATTCTTAACGTCGAATATCTTCCCAACGTGGAGCGGCTAGATAGTCCTGTAAAACGACGAATTCTGGTCCCTGAAGTTTAACTTTATGGTAAGCGCTGCCTACGGCTGATATGATTTTCAGATAACGGCTTATTTCCTGGCTTAGAAATTACTTAGGGAATCGTTTCGTATCAAGGAAAACAGAGTTTCTGTCAGTTAGAATGGATAAACATTAGTTGAATCATAAGTAATATTTAAAGCTGCAATTCTCCTGATTTTATTGATGACCTTTTAAACAGAATCACGTAATCACGTAAGCGGACTATGCTAGGGCATAGAGGTTTATAAAAAATGAAGAATATACCCTCTGGCGTCAAAGCGATCTCACAACGAACGTGAAATCGCGGCTACACAACCAGCTAAAATTTAACTTATCGAAATTTCATTTCGTGAACATGCAACCACACGGAAATAATGAAGTTTCCCAAGTGTCTCAGTCTGTCTTCGTTAGATTAGTTTCTTAGCTTTATTTTCTTCGTAGTTGCCCGTCGATCTACTTGGTCTAAGTGACTCATATATCCCTCAAGAGAGAGAGACCCAGCAGTATTGTGGGCTTTGAAGTGAGGCCTCTAGTATTTTCTCAAGATTAAGCGTAGAAAACCTTATGCGGTTGCGCAAAATTGTTCCAATCGAGTATCATGAGGATAGGAGATGATCTGACATTAGCACACAACATTTCTGGAGCCCTGAGTCATCACAACGCAAGTGTGCAAATAGAAAATCACCGCGACCCTTCAATAGGCAATACATAGGGAACTGTGCATCAAAAAGCGAAGACTCAAGTACATTTCCACTTTTTTGTTGCAAAAATCAATCAGTTTGGAATGCTTTTTAGTTAAAACGAATAGAGCCCAACAGTGGTGAGATTCCAGGTGGAACTTGAATAACATGTACTCATACATAGATCACCAGCTTTCTTCCGAACTAGGTGTACTAGAAGTAAGTCTCCTAACCTATCCACTGTTATACTTATCGCGTATTATCAGGTTATTCGAGTATTTGTCCTTACCCACGTTTCCTACAGTGCTATTGGCTTTTTTACTTGATTAGTTAAATGATTAGTATATTTAGAAGATTCTCTCGTCTTAGCATTACAACATTCGCTTTATTATTAAACACATGACAAGCAGTCAGTTTCCAGTTCGATAATCTAATTTCTATTGATTAGAGAACCTTCGTTGCTGTAAACTAAAATTAATAATATTACAAGTTATTGGAACCCACAATATCTACCAAAACGATGAGAATCAGTGGCCTAATGCTTTCATTATCTCCAAGCGGAATCGATATGAAACCAGAGTCCATTCTGAAACCAAAGAAATAGAGTCCCAGGAAGTCAATTTATCTATAAAAGTCTGTCATAAAGATGATGAAGCTAAAGAAAAATGCTACGATTACAGTACAATTAGACCTGGCACAAGAAGCCAAGGAAGTCACACTCACACTTCAGGGGCTTCTAGTTGAACCGACCTTTCTCCCTCTGGAGCGATAAAAACATTTTCAGTACGAGCAGCCGATAGAACATCAACAGGCATTTAAGATCCAACCAGTATGATCGACCATAGAGAGATCGTGCTGGTTATTGGTAGCCTGGATGAAGCTGATGTACATGGTATGCAACAAGGACAATGACTATCTCATATCTCAGGCCTTCATACATTCATATTAATCAGCACCTTCCGTTCGCTTCGTCTGACAAACATTACGACCACTGAGTCTCCATTTATGATGTTTGTGGACTTCAGATATCCATTTATATACTTAGTTCTGAAATCTTCCTATTAGCATTGGAATTTTCTCCTTATTATTCTCAACATTGCAACTGAGTGATGTGCGGTCTGGTAATGTGATAACTGCTAGTTTCCAGAAACCTTAAATAAACGTACTCACTAAAATTACAGGACAGGCAAATCCATAAGCAACTACCAACTGACGGGAATTATCGCAGTCGAGTGGTTAGAGTACCATTAATTATACACTACTGAATACCTGGAAATGTACCGAAAAAAGAAGAATAGAGAACAAAGTAATCAACTGATTCCTACTAGCTCGCTGTGAAGATATTGGATATTGAATTTCCGCTCCAATTAATTCTGTAACGCTACCGACTTCTAGTTACAATCTCTAGTCTGTCTTATTCTGATGTTTGTGTTATTCCTGAATGTTATTGATTGCTTTCTCAAATAAAAGTAAGTACATTCTGTGTTTTTACTGAATTTGTGGCTCCTTTCTCCTGTCCTCTTCCAGAAAACCTCACATACTGCTCCTCACGCCCCACCAGTACACAAGGTACCTTCACTCTAAACGCAAGCTTACCAGAAGCTGAAGTTACAACTGATTTTTCACTCAGCTCCTAATTGTACCTGAATTATTTGTGAATGATTCAAGATAAAGAGTCTCTCATGGAGCCTCATTGGCTCAGTTTTCAACCCCCACAAAGCACTGAGATGATCTACAAACAAAAGGTTGTTCCTCGTCATCGAGTGTTATCTGCATTGCTAATTGGTCTGGGAATTTCAGTAACACTAGTGCTTTTACTGGTTTTGTCCTATTATATGCATGTACACTCAGGTGATCATGTACATAGTAACAGTAAGTCTCGAATTAGATTCGTTCTTGTATTAATCTACGTCTATTTTTTCACTAAAAATGCTCACCTGGCATAATATTTCTAGACAATGCAAAAACTAATATCCATTTGTTCGGGATTGGTTTTCCTATACTGGATTGTAAGCGGTGGGAATTACGTAACAAAACACGCACCAGAGCCTTGAGGTCCTGATACTTGAAAAGCCATAATTAATTTAGTAACTAATGCGGAGATTCAGCAACTGCTGGACGCTTTTGCGACTGGTAGAAACTAGTAGACATTTTATCTCTACATCTAAGAATTAGGCTGAAGTCCATCAATTATGTAGTCATGCTAGAAATCAGCCAAAAAGTTGTTTGTTATAATTCCAATCGACCGTAACGTTTCTGTAATTATAAGTCCACCTCACGTTCATGATATAATTGTTTTCAATTTCACTTCGCATAAGAAATGGTAGTAGTTTAAAGTTTATGTAACAAACCTTTATTTTCTTTCAATCATCTTGTTTAGACTATGTTATTACTAATGTTTTTCTTCACCGAAGCATTTAGTAGTCATTGACATCTCATGACGATTCCTCCTAGAATTTTCTGACAAAACTATTTCAACCAGCATAGTATATTAATGTAAGTAATTGTTCATTTCCCAAATAGTGACTACTTTCAAGCAAACCTTCAAACATGTATGACTGTATACCTGTAGCTTATTTCCGCTTAGTTTTTGTTTTAACGTCTATATCTGACACATATCGCAAACAAATAATAATCTACTAGACAGTCTCCGTTAACAATTTAAACATCAAAGTATTCCGCAGCTGTTTTTATCACTTAAATTATTGGTTGGATCGCTATAATTTTTTCATTAGTACTTGTACTGAATTCTCCTGCTCAATCACTTTGACAAGTCGAGCTGTGCCACGACTTACGTCCCAAGTAAGCTTTTGAAAAGTATGGTTTAAGGGCTTTATATTGGTCGTCACGTGTCCAAAACAATCGCTTCTTAAAATTAAGCATTATGCTAACCAAAGATGTCAATCCAACAACAGGTAATAGGAAAAAACTTATACCGACCATGGTCAGTGTGTAAGTTGTGTCTAAAATATACGAAAATACTCATAGTTATGTTAACACAAAACAACTATAAAGGGATTGTAGGTCACAGTAGTTTCCCCCAAATACTCTTACAAATCTGTACTAAGCTAAATCTGGTTCGTGGTATGCCTATAATCGTTTTGAAGCACAAACTTAATACCATGGGGACCTTGTCTTAGCGTAGAGACTGAATTAAAAGGAAGTCCCTTGCAATTATAAGTTAAAATTTAAATCTTAGGTTAAAAAAAATAACTCACGTTTCCCATAAAAGTATGAAAATTGGTTGAGTTACTCGTTATGCTTTCGACCTCAAATGTATTCAGATTGCATAAATAGTCGAAAATCTTGGTCTGTATATTTCACGTGATCGTTTTTGTAATAGCTGTGATATTGATGAAGTTCTCACTATTCTAAGTCCACTTTTCCTCATTTTCATTAAGTTAGAATAATGCCAGCAATGTGACTCTTAAAAAAAGAATTGCAAGGATCATTTTTTACACCATCTATCCTCTTTAAATCCTAGAGCTCGTTTTTATCATTATTTAACCCCATGACCAGCTGCCATCTCAATGCAGTGGTCCGGCTTACCTGTATTGACGAACTAATTAGTTTGCACTCGTTGAAACACAAAAGTCTCTACCATATTGGCCAGGTTGATTAAATAGCGGCTGAATCGGAAGCGGCAAATCTGAAAACATATGGTAAAGTGATACTACTGGATTCATTAGGATGTGATAGCAAGCAAGAATTTCCGACAATCATCGAACCCCGAACTAGATGTTGAAGCATTCAATACACAAACCATATTTCCAATCAGGCAATCTGTTCGTTAGCTAAAACTACGTAATATTGTCTAATCAATGTATTCTAAATTTGGACGCTCAATCCTAAAGTAGTCACTCACTGAGCCTCGCCAAGTAAATATGGAGATCCGGCGTGTCGTCAAATTTAACACTAACTAACGTAATCTTACTAGCGCAGGGAAGACACTAAGTTTAAAAGCGAACAAACGGAATCCCATTTACATTTATTTTTGTCGTTAGCTTCTACTTGGTGAGTTGGTATTCTGAGGGACGGGATTCGAACTGACAGTTGCGTCTCTGTGCTAATGCCGTATGGCAACCTGTACTTACGCACGAAGTTCTACGTTGTAACGGACTGCAGAATGGAGTCGCTAACACCTGACCCCTTTCCTTTATCCGGGCTTGGGACCGGCAGTAACACCAGAGGGGACTGGAGGTGGAACAGAAAATTGGCCTATCCACTATAGCTTAATCTTGGTCCGATTAAATGTACATTATACAGCGTAAAGGTAAACCCTTTTAAACTTTTTTGCTTCCTGCTATGCCGTCACTGACTGCACTTCGGGATGAAAGCTGATTTTTAGAGAGCCAAGTGCTCAAACGTAATAAACGTTGCTTAAGTCTATATTTTAATCCACGCTGTCTTTCCGCTTTCTCAACCTTACGAACACATAATATCTGTCACCTGTTAATTATATTTGCATAACCGTTTATTCAGAATAAGTGCCAAATTTAAGCCTCAGGAAAGATATTGTCTGAAATGGAAACCCCAAACAATAACATGACGATGGATACAAATAGACATCATTTTGAAGCTCTAATGGAAACTGTCACTTTACATCGGATTCAAACTATGCTTTAGTAAAAGCATAATGTGTGTATAAAATCCACAAAAAGAAGAGATTAAGAATGAAAATCTAGTAGACTTCGTTGTAATAAGTATTGAGATGTAAAATTAGTTTTTTCAAACCCATGTTTTTCTTTTAAGGTGGTTTATGATACATGCATCCGATGTAAAAACGTGAAAACCAACAGGCTTTCAAACGGTTGAATTTCACCTAAATTCCCATTTTTCAGTCTTTATTTTTAGAGTTAATTACTAATAATTAGTTACTAAACTGCAAATAATTTCCCTTGTTACCTCTGTTCATTAAGTGCACGATTCAGTGAATCCAATTTGTCTACTACCAAGAGTAACTGGTAAGTGTCGTGCAAGTTTCCAACGTTGGGGTTGGAATCCACAGACCACAACCTGTGAAAAGTTTATTTACGGTGGCTGTGATGCAAATGAGAATAATTTTTTAACCAAAGAAGATTGTGAGGCGACGTGTAAGATAAAAATTCACATATGAGTCATAATGCCAATATATACGGTCATCATGTGGCAGTATATTTAGTCCCTACTCTCCAGAAAATACTACTATTATTGTAATATATCATGTTTTATGTTGGTTTTTGCTATTTTACCTATTTTTTATTTACCAAAAATTCACTTTTAACTGTCACCAACAAAGTGTCGATACTGTTATCATCTCCATTCGTTTAGTTTCATGTTTATGGACCTATTTTCATGTTGGAACGAGGTAGGTAGATTGAATGTCAGCGTGTTAATTGTTCAAAGACATTGATATCCTAGTCCAGAGATGACAGTATCCCTTGGAAGCTGCACATCTACAAGCTTTAAATGACTTTATGACATGAAAATTTGATTTCTGTTATTTTTAGTTTCTCTTTTATCAATACGTTCTTGTGGTCTTATATTTTATTTCCTATTTTTTATGATAACAATACAAGGGGGATACTTTGTTTCTCTTCGAAAAAAATTTGTTTTTACGCTTATTGTTTTCCTTATTCTTCAAGTACATATTCATACATTTATATGTTCGCTAAAATATTTGGGATTATTCCTGTAATGTGTCAGTCGGTCATTCAGTTACAACGTAGAACTTCGTACGTAAGTACATCAGTTCAAGTTGCCGTAACACATTAGCACAAAGATATAATTGTCAATGCAAATCTAAATTTAGAAAGTGAAAGATAAGGGTGATGATTTATTCCGAAGGTTAGAATTTCATAGAACACAAAGACTAAATGCACCTGCGCCATGTAAACGGTTTGTGCCATGTCACTTAGGGTCTCTAATCATCGATTATTATCATCTCGTGGACCTCAACCAGGTAGTCGACACCTACCGACATGACTCAGTTCGCCGTAAGCTCTCACTCGACCTGTAGTGTTCGAGTAGAGAGCTTGTATAAGGTTAGTGTTCTTCTCCGGTACTCATTTCAGTGATAAATTGCCACAGAACCTCACGATCCACTGAGTCGAACGCCGCCTGAAGGTCCAGGAAGACAACTATTGTAGGACGCCTAAGTGTGTGTCTGTGTTCCAGGAACTGACGTAGTGTGATAATGTGGTCCATACAACCTTGACCAGATCAAAAACCAGCCTAGTTTTCTCTAGTATGCTCTTCACTAACTCTAGTTAGGCGTCTAAGTATAATCAAGGCTAACAATTTAGAAACTATATTAGTTAGACTTATTCCCCTGTGATTGTCACAAGAAGACTTTTGTTCTTTTTTATAAATTGGAACAATCAGGGATTGAGACCAGTCGCATGAGATTACGTCTAGTTCCCAGATTCTGCCTAAGATCTCAGTCAATCTAGCTGCTAAAACTGGTCCGCCATCATTAAGAATCTCAAGGGTCAATCAGTCAGGTCCTGCTGCTCTCATTTGCTTTAGATTTCCTATATCTTTCTCAACTTCATAAAGATTCGGGGGAATCCCATTCAGGATGGTTGGAGATCGTGGGCAACCGAAGCGTGGCTGAAGGCCAGTTGAACTGGTCCCTGAAGTGTTCTACCCATCGATCCGATCTCCTCGAATGACAATAAATAATAAGACCATCCTTTTCCGAAATAGTCTCACTCACATTTGGGTTCCTAATACCAGTTTCCTTGATGAGTCTGAATAGTTGCCTATTGTTGCCTGTCGACGTTGCCTTTTCTATCTCCCTTGCTTTCGCTACTTACAACTGTACTCGATCATTGCGAAGGCTTTTTATCAGCCTGAGCTCAAGCTGACTTCGCTCCTCATCGTACTCAGAGCCAGGCGGGATGAGTTTTCGAGCATCCATCAGTTTGGTATATGCTACTGAAATTCACGGCTCCTCCCTAACCTTATGGTTTACCTTACCAGAAGATATCACTGCCGTTTCTACAGCTATTTGCACATCATTCCAAGCTGCCTCAGGGTGGGCATCACTTACTAAATGGCTGCCTAACTTTTTCTAGTTGTTCCTAAAATATATTCTTAGCTTTATTACCATTAAGTAGAGCCCCAAAAGGTTTCGTTGAAATATTTTTCCTATGTCCACTAAGCCTCAAACCAATACGCGCTCGCATGGTGAGTCTAAACAATTGCTCCAGAATGAGTGGCAGTAATCAATAGAGCCTCTCTACTGATGGCTTACAGCGATGTGATCTCGCTGGGACGGCTTTCGGGATCGCTAGGTCAGCAGACGGTCGCCATTATATGTTCTATTAGTCGCGACACAATAAGATCCACCCAGGTGTCTTCCCTTTTCACTCAGTCTACCTACTTAAGCGTTGAGGTCACAAGCCATTATTACTATATCAGAGCGCTTAACATTTTGGAGAGGTTTCTATAAAACTTATCTTTCATGTCGTTAGAAATGCAGTCAGCGAAAGCGTAGGTAGATATGACGAAGAGGAAACGGCGAGTGTCCCTATCCTTCCGAGTACGTACCGACCCGTCTAGTCGCACAAGCGACTGTCTATCGGGATCCAGTCTAAGAGAGCTAGTCCTGCCCTAGGACTTAATACTATACCTACGCCGGTGAGGCCACAAGAAGCGGCATCAGAGCTTCCAGAAGCACGAAGCGTAAACCTTTTTGTGTCTCTATATGCACTAGGAGAGATCAAATTGATGCTTTTTCTCGGATCTTGTATGCTCGTTTCGGAGACGCAGCGTACATCGATCATCCAGGATTTTAGAGTTGTAGCTGATTGAGTCCGTTGCCCTACTTGGCATAGGGTCCGAACATTAAAAGCTCCTATATGTAATTTAGTAGGGGGTTTCAAGAGACCAGGATTAATGTTTCGTGAGGTCATACGGTTTGCATCAGTGGCGTAAGGTGATAAACAATCGAAAAGGTTGGTCGAGGAGATAAGACAGTTATTAAGAGGTGTAGAAAGGATTTGATTGTGACCTATTTGGTCTTGTGTGTTTTTATGGGTATGAGGGCGGATGTTACTTCCCGGCTGCTCACACCGTGGAAGGGTGTTTCTTGAGGAACCTGAAAAGAAAGTAGATTAGCGTTGGTCTTAACGACCTGGCAGCGTGACTACAGACCCTAAGGGACAACTGCTTGAAGCCGATCACGAACGGCCCTTTTTATTAAAAACCGCTCCCTTCCTTGTAAAAAGGCAGCATCGCTGCAGATGCTGGTTGTCCGAGGGAAACACCTTACTGCTGTCAAACCCATCTGCAGTGAGCAGCAGGACTTTGTTTGCCCTCAGACTTTGAGTATCTGCTTTTAGTCTCATCGTTCTCCAATCGACCTGCCTGGCATGGTAGAACATATGTCCCAGCTAATATAGCTCGGTTGATTCGTCATGATAGGCAAGGCCGACCACCACGTCAAGGTAGCTACGGTAGGGATAAGGTTAATGTACTTCTCTGGTACTCATTTCAGTGACTAACTGCCACAGAACCTCACGGTCAACAGAGTCGAATGTCGCCCTAAGATCCAGGAAGACAACTATTGTCGGACGCCTAAATGTGTGTCTGTGTTCCAGGACCTGACGTAGTGCTTTCCCTCGCTTCAGATATCCTATAGCTTTCTTAAGTTCGTAAAGTCTCAGAGGACGTACGTCGATTCGCCATTCAGGTTGACTGAAGATCAAGTTGCAAATAAGAAAGTATAGGAAGATAAGAACTACAAGGCTTCACGTTTTGAACAAATACAAAGAATGGACACACCTGCGCCGTTGAAGTCGATTCGATGCCTGCTTTAGATAATCGTATGGACCCAAACTATTTAGTCTGTACATGATCGAGTAAAGTTGTTAATGACTCCAAGACCTAATGCCGTGTTTTAGTTTGGCTTCTAGTTTTCCTTGAGTTCATTCACACCGGCTGAAATAACCCGGTGCTTAGGCGCGTATAATACGTGGTATAGACATATCGGATTCTGTTCCATGCAGTACGCTACATTCCTTTATTTATGGTGTGAAAATTTTGGTATAGTTGTCCGTCAGAAGATACACCCCACTTTAATAAAAGAATTAGATATCATGAATAAATGGAAAGGAAGAGGTTTGCACAATGTGACACAAGTTTGCAAAAGACAATGAAGACTTCTGTATCCGTGCTGAGATTTCGTCAAACACCAAGTTATCAGCACTGATGAGACTCCCAAGATAAGAGAGGCGGTCGACACGCTCAACTACTTCACTCCCTATCACAAGTTCAGGTGTCGGTGCAAGCCAATCCTAGAGCAAAATTTTGCATTTCGATAGTCCCAAGACTAACGAGCAGTGTTTCGGAGACACCTAGGATAGGATACCAGTAACCTACGAGTATCTTCTGCTCTTATTGGCTATGTATTGTAAGGGAGATTGAAATGTTGCATAGCAGACTCGTTCTTTGGTTAGCAGACGAGTATCTCGCCTACGCCAGACATGACGCAAGTTGGCCTCAACTAGTTGCACCTTCCGTGTCCGTACCGAATTTTCGTCAGATACCAGGGTTGATGAAACTTAAAAGATAAGTAAGGTGGTTAATACTCTGGACTATTGCTCTCCGTATAAGTAATTCAGGTGCCGATGCAAGCCAAACATGAGGCGACAATGGCACTCCGAGGGGGAGAATCGCATTCCATGCATGCTTGCGTTGTTGCATAAGGTGGTAGGAAGACTATTTTTCAGCTCCGACGGCAACCAGTGAATCTTCCGGTAAATGTCCAACTCCTGAAATCTTCGTCTCTAAAGGCATATCACTGACTTAGTTGAATAGGACGCGCGCTACTCGAGGTAATCAATTCTAATTGCAGTTCGCCATAAGCTCTTACTCAACCGGTAGCTTTTATAGGGTTCCTGTGGTTCGTTAGTACTCCTTTCAATGAGAAACTGCCACAGAACCTCAAGAGTCAAATGCTGCCATTAGGTCAAGGAGTACACGTATGGTGGGACGTCTGGAAGTGTCTCTTCTAGAACCTCATGAAGTGCGGGTATACACGTGCACTTCCAGTTCTGGAACCAGCCTGGTCTTCTCGATTTTGCTGTTCAAATGCTCTTTTTAACAGTCAAAAAATTATAAGTCATTATTTTGGACACTATACTATTTAAAATGATCCCACCGCGATTGTCACTAGTGGACCTTTGTTTTTTCTTATAGATTGGGACAGTTCGTTATTGAGACCATTCAGGATGGGTTACGTCTAGCTCTTATATTCTAAATGGGATTTCAGTTCTTCTCACTGCTAAGATTGGATCACCACAAAAATCTCAAAGGTTAGCCTGTTAAGGCCTGCTGTTCTCCATCGCCCTACATTGACTGTAGGTTTTTCAACATCATTAAAAGTCGAAGGACTTACAATAGCCTGTCACTTAATAAGAATTTCCGGCTTTTTATACATTTTTCGTTGAACAAATTGCAAGTAAACCAATTATTTAACTTGCATACATGAATAACTTAAGTAGCATAACTTGAAAAAGAGATACTTAGCTTTGTATTATCTGAAACACCTAGTTTGGAGGACGAACGTTGATTTACCATCATATTAAGCGACTGAAGATCGTGCCTGCTGTTTAAATTACCAGTGGAAATTTATAGCTCTGTACTTGAGCAGAACTACCAAAATGGTTTATTAGCAACTTCGACGCTGAATAAAGACTTGTTTTGCAAACAAACAAAATACTCAGTGCGTCTAACAAAGTATAAATGATCAAAACTAATAATCTTCAAATGATGATTAACATGAAAGTATACACTTATCATAAGATCAGTTTATTCAATTCGAAAATGACATTGTGAACAGATTAGTTGACGCAAACAAGTTTATGTCAGTCAGTCAGTTGCAACGTAGAACTTCGTACGTATGTACATAAGTTCATGTTGCCATACCACATTAGCACAGAGACGTAAATGTCAAATCAAATCCCATAGTGATAGAGATAGTAGAGGTATTATTGGTAATGAAGAAGACTAGGGTTTGAAGATATTATTCAAGAAGTATAATTCAGTGAGATAAGGTTAGAAAGACAAAGGTAGAGGTGCTGACGATTCCAGAAGATTAGGACTTGAGAGAGCTCAAAGAATGGATGCACTTGCGCAATTGCAAACGATTTTGAGCCATGCCGTTCAAAGTCTGTAACCATTGGTGACTTTCGTCTCGCGGACCCCAACCAGGTAGCCCACATCTACCAACATGACTCCGTCAACTTATCAGTGACTTCATGGATTTCTGCTACGTTTTGGTCTGGCCGCCTCTGGCTTTCTTGCAACCTACTCCTACACCACAAAACATAGCTCGTAGAGGCAGTCGGTGGTTAGGCATTCGTAACACATCCCAACCACCTCAACTGATGAAGTTTCACCACTTCGTCTATTGATCTGCCGTCCTTACCTAGTACTCGTTTCCTAACAACAGCTTCTGAAACATCTATGATCGAACACTAGTAACCTACGAACATCTACTCTTAACAGCCATATTTCGCATCCTTAAAGGAGAACGGAGCGAACTGCTGCGCATAAACTAAACAAGTTTATGAATGCTTATAAAATATTTCGTTTCATAAACAGATATGTTACGCAGTTCGAAACAATGATGTGATTTGAACAATTTATATCTTCTTAGAAAAATATATATGACAATGAAAATGGATCAAAATGAAGGTAAGGCAATTTTACTTACTACTGACAGTCAGTAATAAAGTGCTTTATCATAAGTTAGAAGGAACAGATAGATAGACATGCTCTCAATACAAATTTTTAAGGAGACACCAGTCAGTTGCAACGTAGAACTTCGTACGTAAGTACATCAGTTCATGTCGCCATACCACATCAGCACAGAGATATAATTGTCAATTCAAATCCAATAGTAGAAGAGGTAGTAAAGGTATTAGAAGTAATCGGAGAGGTTAGGATGAGAAGATATTATTCACGAAGTATGATTCAATGAGATAAGTTTAGAAAGTAAAAGCTAGAGGTGTTGAAGAACCCAGAAGATTAGGATTTGAGAGAACACAAAGAATAAATGCACCGGCGCCATTGCGAACGATTTTGAGCCATGTCATTCAAGGTCTCTAACCATCGATTATTATCATCTCGCGGACCCCAACCAGGTAGTCGACAATTACCGACATGTCTAAGTCCACTCGTCAATGACTTCATGGATTTCTGCCATGTTTTGGTTTGGCCGTCCCTAACCTTCTTCCAACCTATTCCTACACTACAAAGCAAAGCTCGACGAGGCAGTCGGTGGTTAGGCATACGCAACACGTGTCCCAACCACCTCAACTGATGAAGTTTCAGCACTTCATCTATTGATCTGCCATTCTTACCTAGCATCCGATTCCTAATAACAGCGTTGCAAGGAGACACCAAAAGATATTTCCTCTGTTAGCAGGTAGTTTCTCTTATCAGAGATCGATATCACTGGAAAACCCGTGAAGAACTAAGTTCACGGAATGTTAGTTCTAAGGAGACACCAAAAGAACTAACATTCAGTGAACTTAGTTCTTCACGGGTTTTCCAGTGATATCGATCTCTGATAAGAGAAACTACTTGCTAATAGGGGAAATATCTTTTAATTATGTAACTAAATGCACGTTAATCTGTTTAATCAACACGCGTTTTCTACCACTTGGCACTTTCCCTTTTGTTGGTAATTACACTGAGACATGAAGCCAGTGTCCACCACTTTAGACGCCAATGAATCATCTACTCTGTAGTGGAAGTACATTCTACTGATGAATCCCAAGTTAGAAGAAATGCTTCCTGAATCCTACTGTATCTTTATTCGTCAAAACACAATACACTTCCAAATATGATGTCGAGGCCTCCACTCAAGTAGTCCGACATATCGACAGTGATGGACGACATGCAATAAGAGGACGTATAAATTTGTGCGTACTGTGAATATATGCTGAAATACATGGATAATAACTAGAAATCGTCACTTGCTACATGATTTATGACGCTATATCCTAAATCGATAAATATTTTACGATTATGTATGCATCAAATTTCATATTCGAACCTCTCTTCGTTTGAAACGCACACTTTAGGAGTTACATCAGTTTTATTTGGCTTCCTGGTGATGCTCAATCATGACTCAACGTTAACTGTAAAACTGAAACGAAGAACTATAGGATGTGGAAATCAGTGACACAGGAAGTCGCTAGGCGTCACTCTAAACATAATTGGGTAGTGACTTGATTGTAGTTTCCTACAGTGTGATGCAATATTTAACTGTGTACGATCTAACTTGGTGTAGGTCTCACTCACTTTTCATAACTTGACAGCGTTCGTCTTTATAAACGTAACAAATGGCTTTACAATTTCCCCTCGTTTAACTGAACACCGTTTTGTTATTTCATTTTGTTTAATGCATTTTTAGGTGCCAACTGTGAAAATAACATGATAAGCCTACATATTTACAGTATAATTTTCTTTCGAAAAATTGAAAGTAATTTCAACAACAATTACGCTTCACTCTGTTATATGTTCGAGAATACCTTGATGAATTAAAGCTTCACAATCAGTTCGATACATTAAGTGATGGCTTCCTTTTGTTAAATGCAGAATACTGCCATCTTCTGTTTCGAATTCACCAAAATCTTGAAGACAACGAACTTCTAAGAATAATGATTTTGGAGGTGTACGATATTGTGTTAAATCTAACATTCCACCACCTCCACGTTCTGATCCATCAGCTTGCATGAAATTAGCTAAACAACCACAATAGTGTTTAAACCATGCTTGTTCCGCTTCCGATAAACCATCACGGATATCTGAGTATGAAAAGAATACAATCTGCATTAAAGAATTTTCAGGTACTAAAACCATTAATCATAAATTAAGAGTGAATACGTACACTTGTGACAAACTTAACTTAAATCAAACGTAACTAAAAAAACAGATTTTTACGACAAATTAGCGATGGCATGTTGCTGGGATGGACTCCAACTGCCTCAACAAACGTAGCGTTGTGGATAGTTACAGTAGACTGACAACTGAGCAATCAGTAACAAACCGTATAACCGTTTACTGTACAAGACTGATCGAAATTTTGTCAACTCATCCTACCTATTTTGACTTGGAATGGTGAGTTGAAACTGCATCTTCATTCCAAGAAAAAAGTAAATTTGTGATGTACTTTCTTTCACTGAGCCGCGTGTTTTTCTTGTGGATCAGATTAAGATCGAGGTTGAGAAAACAAGTTACGGTTCATACATAGAGAGATTCGAATACATTAGTTCAACCTGACGTTTGCGTTGATAATATTCAAAGAAACAACGGAAGCATCAAAACCAAAACATCCAGCTCCGAGAACGAAACTACACCACAATCATCCACCTGGGCTACAAATTTTCCCCACCATCTCAAAAATAATTTATCCACCCTGATAGTTTGTCGAAAACAACTATTTAACCTTTTGGTGTCATTTACTTAGTAATGTTAGTAGAGATTTTTAGCTTAGGTAGATGGTTTGGTCCTGGAGCTTTTATTGTTCCACTGAAGAATTTCATCAGCACAAACTACAGGTAGAAGTTAAGTATTCGAACACTTTACTTTTCGTTCAGACGGATACTTTTGTTGTTTCATCTTTTCATAAAAGGGATATGTGCAAAAAGTGCCAGGCACCATTGGTTTAGTACGTTTTGTATGCGTGAAACTACTTCAAAGTGATTAGTTATGAAAAATATAGTACAAAGTAATCTATACAATTACCTTTAGGTAAGACAGTACCATATTCCCACCGTAGTTCCTTGATCCGCATTAATCTAGCATGGTGATAAGCGAGAAGACAACGTTTATTACGTTCCAGGATAGAATGCCTGACTAAAACAGATTGGATTTTATTGCTATGGTCGTCTGTTTCATATGATGATGACAGGCCAGATGAGGAGTTAGACACAAGGGCTACATCACGATGATTGGCATCATATAATACTCTCATTTCTTCCAAACATACTCGAATCTTATCTTCATTATATGCTGGTAATTTGCTTTGTTGAGAACGCTTCAATTCTTTTACTAGCTGGAGGCTGGTTTGAGCTAGCATTAGTAGTCAGCAAACTGGAAGGAGTCGAAAGTCAAACAAAGTAAGTTGAGAACAAGAAAAAACCTGATGTTAGGAAGGCATTAAGCATGTCGGCAATAACGTTTATAAACCGTATCAGAACAGTACATGATATAGCTAGGTAATATTTTGGGTACCATCATTCAGAATCTGAATTTTTGAGATCGTATATAAACAATAAGGGCTGCGGAGAGTTTACCGAACTGTAGAAGGGATTTCCACATGACGGAAGACCAAACAAGTTACATGTAAAAGACTTCTACATATAATATAATGGTAAAGACCTGTGAATAAAGATGAGATGTGACTTCGAATACATGCACTGAAGTAAAGCACACATCAAAAGTAGAGCATCGTCTAACATATTGCGGAACTTTGATATCTAATCATGTCAGTTACTGATATAATTCGATTTTATTGCCAAAGGACAGAAACGGATTCTGAACATAGTAAAATGTGTTTCAATAGAGATGAAGCCATTGATAGCAGAACAAACTCTATAATATAAAAGCGTTAGTTCCCCGAGTAGCGCAGATGTCAATATTAGGCGTACCAGAAAAAAGTCTCTACTGAAAATTTCCTATGCCCCTGACATCGAGATGTAAAAATCACTTCGTAACCTAAAACTCTTGATTGATTATGCGCAAATAGATCGTCAAAAGACCGACTCCAAAGAGACAACGAAGAATCTCTCAACTATACGTACAGTTTGTATTTTCTAGGACTCAGATAATTCTAATTTAATACACGTGTAGTTAACATCTGGGTTAACGATGAAATCTAGTTGCGTAACTCGGACAAAATGGTAAACTCGCTCCTACCATTTGTTGTTTCGGAGGACTCGGATTATAAGAGGCCATCCTGTAGACATGATTACAATTTATATAACCTTTAATTCCTAATTACATATATTCCACTTTCCATATCGATGCGGAGAGAACCTTAATCTCAACAAGGAAGTCTACCAAAGAGCAATGAGAGACTGCCCACCATGATTCTAAAACCCGCTCCATTGAAGACAGGTCTCAATTACCAGCCTATTTATTCCCATCCAATGTCCAATATCCATTCCGCGAGCTACTAAAAAGCAACTGATTTCTTTGCCTTCTATTCTTGTTCTCTAGGCGCAGTTCAAGTTACTTAGCAGTATCTAATAGACGGTAATCTAGCCACCTCGATTGCACTAATTATAGTCAGTTGGCAGTTATTTAAGAATTTGTCTCGCTCATGGGTACAGTAAGTAAACTTACGGTTATTTGTGTGAGTGTATTTGGTCTCAGGAAAGTAGGGTTTCTGAATACCAGAAGCTATTACATTACGAGTTCACAGATCGGTTAGCTGCTTTGTAGAAAATAATAATAGGATATGATAATCCGTATGTGAGTACGTGTTTATCAAGTCGTTTCTTGAAGCTATCAACCGAGGTGGAAGTGGTCACTCTGTCTAGGAGAGCATTCCAAGTTGATGATAAAAATGTCTGTAGTGAAATGCTTCCACAAAGAAGACGCAATCGGTGATAAGGAAACATTTATTATTGTACTCAACTGTCACAATAATTGTTTCATTGTGCTCCTTTTGTTTAACTGGACTAAAAACACTTACGCTTGACTTTCTGTTTGTATTATTGCCATCATTTTAACGTGCTGCTCTGTCTTGTCATTTGTTAGTAGGAAGTCACAAGCTACAATGCTTCGACCACGCGCTGCGAATAGCCCAAGTCATTCCTACCTACGGTACACGACAGCCAACGATCAACCTGAATAATCGACGGCAGTACCTATGGACTTTCATCCCTTCTGATGTTCCCACAGCCATACTCGGTATCGATTCCTTACAGCTGTATGAACTGGTACTCGATTCATGTGGGCTGCAGTTAATCCATACTTCGGCGAATATCAAATCCATGGGTTTTAACACTCAGACAGATATGTACCAAATCAGCAATATATATTTTGCATTATTATTCATTTCATGAAATATATTATAAATTCCCCAAAAGTAATGAACCGGAGGGGAATCTATTGGTGATTAATTATCTGGTAAGCCACATGGTCACCTGCAGACCCCCAATCATTGCAAAACCTCGCCGACCGGCACTGGAAAATTCAGTTTTCGCTAAGCGTCAGTTTGTCAGTTTACTTGCTATATGTATTTCTTCGTCTTTCTCACAGTCCTTGAGGCTTCTCTTTCTCTTCAGGTCACAAAAAAGATGTCATTATTTGGTGATTACAGAGCAGCAACGGCAGATATTCAATAACCAGTCTGTGAACTTGTATACTGCACAACAATGCATCTGTCTGGGGAACGTTTCCACACCACGGAGCAGCGATTTTATGCATATCACAGCGTACATACGAACACTGCCTCTGGTGTGAACTCGAATACATCATCGACAGCTCACCCTCCCTCGAGAGTAAGATACCTAGTTCGAGTAGATTCGGTACCCAAACCTTTGCATTAGCCATACGAAAGATCTTTTCACGGGAACTCTCGACACCAAAAGACCTTCAACATTGGTGGACGCAGTCAGCGCTGATTGCCTCACACCAACACACATCAATAACAGTGCCCTACCTGACAAATCGAGATTCAACGCTGGACTCGTCAAACTCACTAGCGTAATCCCTATTTCTCCTTCGACCCCACGCTAGATAAGTCAGAGCCGTCACTCTCACGTCCCAGTCAACAGCAGGCGTCATCTGCACTATCTATGTATGAGAATCCGGTCTCGCGTCTAGATCAAGAGACCACTCCGCCCCTGAATTCGGATGAGACTGAAGTCCCACAAAGTACGCATGAGACTACTGTCTCGCATTCCGGTAGCCACGTACGCCTACGTGTTCGCTTTCCCAACCATAACAGATACAGCATAGGTTTTTATCCCCATTCTATGTGCTTGCTAGACCTTTCTCTTTTTCTCTGATTTTTTTATCCCGGGCCAAAGCCTCCAACTATTGCCCTGTTGGTACCGTTGACTTCAGTCAATCTCGGCGAAAAATGGCCTGATCACCAACGCTCTTGTCAACGCACTCAGTCAGTGTTCTGGTCTCGAATGTATCTGGTATACGTATGGTTTCGAACTTGGTCGTTTCTGGCTCCTTCGCTCAATCTGGTTCCGTCCCACGTCTGCGACGTTTTCTGATCCGAACGCCTACGAATGCTATCTTCAGACTCTGGGTACGAGCCACGCTGGTGTGGCACGCCAACTCGAGCAGCAAACCTGGAACGTTACTAAGGGTACAGTTCCCCGTAGAAGTCTTTCGGTGACAACCTGAGCTTTATTAGTCGCTTCCAGTTCGCTAACTCTTTCGCCCTACAATCGCACGTTGGCCGGCCAACTCCCACCCTAGAACGAAAACGTTACGTACCGGAAAAGTAAGCCGTTTCAAGGTGGCTGATGTGATAGAATGCATCACGAAGAGAACGAAGTCGGTGATAAGGAAACATTTATTATTTTACTCAGTTGTTACATTAGTTTTTTATTGTACTCCTTTTGTTTTACTGTGCTAAAAACACTTACCCTCAACTTTCTGTTTGCGCTGCTGCCATTATTCGTTACATGCTGCTTTGTATGTCGTCCATTTTTGTTGTTGTGATTTCGGTGTTCTCTAGACACCACCAAATCACCAGTAAATATATTCTTTACCCTGGACTTATTATTATTGTGATGGGCAAGTAATCAGTATTTAGTGGTGATCATAGTCAATCTGAACTCGGTCACCTCTAAATATCTATGAGTATTTTCACGATTACTGAGAAACCAACTTTCGAAAAATGCACTGAGTTTGATTTCTTCATCAAAATAACAGCCGATTTGAGATGTCTTAGGGAAATATGGAGTGAAATTATTCAATAAATAAGAATCACGATAGATTAATTTAAGTGAAAGTCTTCCTATTTCTATAGGACAGACTGAAACAGTGCGGGCTAATATCACTTCAGCCAACTGATGATATAGCGCATCTTGGCCAGGGCTAAAAGAAGGAGTGCTTGCCTGTCACATTTACACTTAACGAAAAGTGGTCGGTGTGTATACATGCCTTATGAGCCTATTCAAGTTAAAGTAGTTAGAGATCTATGGTCAGAACACACCATGAGCGATTCCGACGAACAACGAATATCAACCGATGCCTACTGTAGTTGGCTGAACATGTTACAGGTTTGGTAGTAGTTCTGAACCAGCGTGGAAAGACAGTGACCAACGCAGTAAGTCGGCACAGTGTTGCAAGCGATGGAGTCTCGTAAATGATATTGACAGAACAAGGTCCATGTTTTGAGATCGCCCAGTTTACGTCTAGCCTAGATCAGCCAGACATCAAGCAGATTCGAACAATCCTATACCATCTGCAAGCCAACAGGTTGACAGAACGAAGTGTCGGTATGCCAACAGGACGCTTGGTATCAAAGAAAGTAAGTGGAAGAAAGAAGTACCGATGATATTGCTCACTCATCATGTTTTGGTATATAGAATCCGAAGAAAGTCGTCCTTCTAGTAAATGAATAACAAAAGTCAGCATCTGCCAGAAGCCATTAGGATGCAGTTGAAACTTCAGATATCAGATCTTACTCAATGGAAAGGCTAGCAAGAATAAGCGGTGACAGATGTACGATTGAAAAATAGAATGAACGTGAGAAGATCCGACCGATATCACGAGAAGCAGCATAAACTCTTCCTAAGAGTTCAGGCGAAATTTGAGCGACGAAAATGGATATTAGGAGCTGAACTTGGCTTACAAAGATTTCTTGCTGAGTAGAAAAGACCACGCGTCATAATTGTGAGACACAGAGAGTCAATACCATCAGTGTAGGTAACAAAGAGAAGTGGACTGGTGAATCAGATCCAATGAACCGATGGTTGACACTGGACCGTAGAGATCAGCAGGCCTACAGGCGCACGAACTTGATGAGAGACAAGTGTGTTGTATGCTGCTCACGAACGTAATTTATACGCAGTGAATAGTGGAACGATTTGTGGAGGTTGCCATGGTGGACAGCTGGAGATACGAGTTTCAGTAAACAAAAAGTACAGCCTGTTCGTAATACTTTAGAGACCCGAAAAGAAGTTACAGTTGACGGTTTAGAACCAACTTAGGCTGCAGTTTACATAGCAAAACACAAACCTTCCTTCCAGTTACTTGTACTTGTACCTGATTTTTGAAGAAGGACGATTATGACAAAGCTCAAGTGTTCCCTTACCTGTTAATAGTGGAGCTTTGGTTAATTCTGAGTATTTGATAAATGAAAATGAATGTTGCAATACTGAACAGTTATGAAGATCACGGAGAATTTCTGAATCATACAACTGTCGCTGATTTTTTATGGCGTTCGAGTATGCTATTTAATAAATCTCCAGAGCGATGAACGTGACAGTTTCCTTGCGAGTCTAGCTGCAATGTCTATGTTCTTATATACACTTCAACAAGAACGAATATATTGGAGAAATCGTGCGCTGTTCCAAAGAAATGAGTTTAGCATGCACTTATATGTTCGCGAAATAAGACATAACTTGATAAATGTGTGAAAATTATGGTAAGACTCATTGATTGATCAAGTGGCTGCAGATATGCTAAGCAAGTTCAAGCGAGACTATTGTAGAAAAAATCGAGAACGATGATTGGTGTGTACAAATTCGATTAATGGATATTCCTCGCATATCGAGAACGTAAGTTACTACCAATGAAAGTTTGACCACAAACTTATGTCCATGACTGCGTTTTAAACCCCTGCTAGCATTTGAGGAGTTAAACATGTTATTATTCGCGTTCTGGAGGTGTGTTTGACTGCTTAGACTGGTAGTTTGTGTGCATGAACGCGTCATCATACCACCAATTTACTAAGAAGGTTGCAAGATGTTCTGGGAACGAGCATCTGAGAAGTTCGTGAGCAACATCTGTAACATGCGATAACCATATAGACACGGAAACGGTAGTCCGTAGAATGGCAAGATTCCTTTTGATGTAAGACTGACAGAAATAAAACTATCTACGCTTTTATGTGGAAGGATCAGATGGGACTAAATCAAAGTTTTAAACTACTAATTAGCACCTTCGCTTCTGACATGTCAGCATTTCCATGACTTCAAAACCGGTGAATTTACTGGAACACGCTAAAAACGTTCATGAACTCGGAACAATTTATTTTTCAACCTATTACTGACTTTCCTGTAGAGTCATGGAACTCGAAACCCTAACACATGATTAAAGCCCCATCTGTTGACGCACATAAGAAGATGCCAGACAGAATCAGCCATCAGCGTTTCTAGGACTAACAAAGGCCACATTGTTTCTCTTTCAAATCAAAACAGAAACTGAGCAGTTCAGTAATATATTTCCGTTCCGGAAATACCCTATAGAAAAACTCACTTCAGTGAACTTTGCTCTCGGAGACAGTATGAAGAATATACGCGCCTTGCCCAGTCCAGATTCAAAATATAAATTCTGGGTAAGAACGGTCCTAAACAATATTTTACTGTCCCGATCCAAAATTAACACAATAAGTTTCCAATTCTGGAATAATGCGTCCTTCTAGTCAAGAATACAAAGTTACCGCAAAGGTATCAAATCCGATATCGCTGTAGCCATACTAAGTATCCATTTAAACAACAAATTTGCAGTTAAGAAGGAAACATATAACTCAAGTACAGAAAATAGGGATTATAACAAAATGCAGATATTAATATCCCAAATCGGGACTAACAGAGTACCAAAATACTGAACAGAAAGAGTTAGCAAGATCATAACACTAAAATATAAATGGAGGGATTTTCCCAAAAACGAAGCCTTCAAAATGGATTCTACAACCCACCCATGGATTACTAACTTCCGTTAGGACATTATGCATGTTCCTTAACTTAACAACCATTATCATATCACTGACTTATTCTCGTCTTTTCATTATCATTTCTGTTCCTTCAATTATCCTTGCACTACGGTTCCCTTATAGTATCTACCTTATTAGTTGTTGACTGAATAATCTTCTTAGTTTCTCAACCATTCGCCTTTTCCTCAGTAATAAAATTTCATTTTTATTCTCTACATTTCAATCATGTAACATCCGGCTAAATAATGTGATAGCTATTTGTTACAGAAATTCATCTGCTCAGAGACTGATACTCTCAATGTGATTGCAGGACGTAAACATTCTAAATATCTATGAAAATGGCTAGAACGGCTGCAGGCAACATGTAGTTTCTTACTAAAGTGGAATTATATCACAGGATACTGTCATAAATCTTAGCAACCAATCAGGTCCGTACATTTACGAAGGAACAACGTCATTTCTATTGTCCTTAAGTGTAATAATGATACTGCATTTCGGTCTGTATCTCCATTAGGCCTCATAAACATTTCGGTTTTAGCTTCAAGAGATTTAAATGTGCTCAATTGTACCATGGTTGTATTGTTCTTTCCATAGATTTACACCGCGAAATATTGGTGACCAGTTGGTTGTGCTGAGGTTTTTTAAGTAAATGATGTCAATGAAGCCTGATTGATTGCTACAGAACTCCTTTTATCAAGCGACTTCATATTACCAGTGAGTTGAAGACCATTTCTAGAACTGGAAAGAAATGACAAGATGTTGTCTCCACTTAATTTCCGCATTCTGTTCTCTGCTTCCGAGTGTATTTTATGTTTTGAAAGCTACTGTGAATAAATATTGTAAAGGCCACTAATTAAATGATTAATATTGTAAGAGTAATCTCGACTGTTTTATGGAGTTACTCTTACTTTGCGAGTTGGCAGTGATTGTTATGAGGAGGTCACTCGCCCTAAAATTTTACTTAGACTTCCAAAGGAACGTCTACTATTTTGAGTAGTATATTGTAGATCAATCCCTAGGCTAACACAGTAACGGTTATCAAACAAATTTTGGGAGTTTGTTCTGATTTAATCTAAATTGACTCGCTATGTTGCCCTAAATGTTACAGCTTAGTGAATGAAATTAGCAAACTCATCAAAATTTAACACAATATTCATGTGGAATCATTGAAGATCCGATGAAATTCTCTCAGTTTTTAGTACTAAGGCAAGCGTTAAAAAAACCTGTATATGTTTTCATCCATCAATTTTAGAAGAACTCAGTGCTTATTAGAAATCAGAACCCATCCAGCGATTATCCTTGAAGAGACGCATGAATATGTTTTGGTTCATGCTCCTGAGTGCTAAAGAGATCTCTAATCACGATTAGCTTATTGAGAACCACCTAACTCATCAATAAGTAAAATTCCTTGTTTCACTAGTAGTTATGACTTTTGTAAACTCAGGCATAAGTAGGTTCTATAGGCACTGAGACATCAGTCACCAGGCCTGACTCTAACCTTCCAACGTGTTGTATATAGAAAGTGAAAATGAGTTCCCTGACGGAATTGTGACCACCAATCTACGTGATTTATTTGTATAGTCTTTCGGTCAGACTTCAAAGTTAGGATTTTGTTTCTGTCTGTTCGCAACCACTCATGAAGTGTGCATTGGCTGTTGTACAGTTGACCTAGTAATGTGTTGGTGGGTTCGAATGTTTCGCACCGTGGCTTTTTGTATTACCTATTAACCCAGTTTGGCTGGATTCCTTTTGCTTACGCGCTTGCAACGATGTCTGAAAAAGTCAAGGAAGATACTGCTGATAAGGCTGTTGGGGATGTTAATAAGGATTCTATAACTAGTCAAGGCAAAAAGAAAGATAAGAAGAAAACTGGTAAAGAGCAGAAGCAAACTAAAGATGATATAAAAGAGAAAAAACTATCGAAACATGTCGCAAAGATAAAAGAGGATTTAGCCAGACAAAGAGAAGAAGAAGAACGACTCAAGCGAGAACAAGAAGAGGAGTTGCAGCGTCTTGAAAAAGAGCGCTTAGAGGAAGAGGCGATCCTTGCAAGGGAAAAGGAGCTTAAACTGAAGAGAAAGCTGAAGGAAAAAGAAAGAAAACAACGTCTAAAGGAAGAGGGAAAGTTGTTGACCGATAAACAAAAAGAAGATCGACGCAAAGTAATGGAGTTACTGCAGGCACGCGGTATTGCGATCCCAGATGATAAGTCTGAAGCTAAGAAAAAACCGCAGTATGGAAAACTTAAAAAGAGAACCACACAAGTAAAACAGGAAGTTGAAGTTGTGGATACACAAGCAGAAGTTGAGGTTGAAAATAATGAAATATCGACTGAGGAGTTAAGTTGTTGGGAGATGTTGGCTGATACTCACTTAAAATCTGCAAGTGAAGAAAGTTCTGAAGAAACCGAAGACTATCTAATCATTGATAAAAATCCCAGTCATTCTGATCAGGTGGAAACACCAGCTGCTAATGACGATGATTTACCTGAAGAGGAGAAAGCTAGGTTGATAGAGTTGGCTAGGCTACGCATAAAGGTAATGGTTACATTTCATATCATCTATGATTGTAGTTACGTCATGAAGCATACGAAGCTGAGCGCAGTGAACTCAACCTACGAGCTGGCGTTATTTGTGTTTTGGGTCATGTCGATACAGGAAAAACTAAAATCTTGGACAAACTAAGGAACACCCACGTTCAGGATAGAGAGGCTGGCGGAATTACTCAGCAGATCGGTGCAACTAATGTACCACTTGAAAACATACTAACGGCTACGCGCATGTGTCCATACTTAAATCCTTCGGAATTACGTATACCTGGTTTGCTTATAATTGACACACCTGGTCACGAGTCTTTCAGGTAAATACATACGGCTAGCCATTTAAACTTAATTTTAGCAATCTCCGTGTTCGCGGGTCATCTCTCTGTGATATAGCTATATTGGTGGTTGACTTAATGCATGGGTTAGAGGAACAAACAAAAGAATCGATCAAAATTTTGCGATCACGCCGAACTCCCTTCATTGTCGCTCTCAATAAAGTCGATCGATTATATGGATGGAAGTCTGATCCGGAAACTTGTATCGAGGAGGTCGTAAAATCTCAAAATTCTATCACTCAAAATGACTTAGATGACCATTTGAAGAAGGTAGGTTTAATTAAACCGTTCCGTGATGAATTTTCGTGCTCCGAGTTGGATGTTGTATCACCATATCCACTAATTGAGTCTAAGTAGTATGATGTAGTGAGGGTTCGTTTTTGAGCAGTTAGTATTTTGACCTGCCAGTATCAGTAGTCACTGAGTTGGTTTCGGCACATTATTATCATGTGGTTGTAAGAATTTTGTTGTCTTAGTCATATACACATGAGCACTACCTATATGTAATCATATTTTGCCATCAACAGTGTTATTCAGATTACTATGTGTTCTGCGAAATTTCGGTAAAGCTGAACTATATGGGCAGATTTAAGCTACTCGCTAAGTGGCTGTAACAAAGTTCCGACCTATTGAGCCGTCAGAAAGCAGATAAAAATGAATTTAGTACTAGGTCTAAGATTTAGGGTGATTTAAAGTTGGGGATATTATCACCAACTGATATCAGGTGTTATACATGTGACTATACATGTCCTGGTACGGCCGAAACTGAGGAGAGTCCGCTCTCCTCGAAATGTTCTCATATGGTTACATGTATATAGGCCCCTCCAGAAAATTCTATTTTTCCTCACTTGGCGGGAGTGTTTACAAAATTAGGAGGATGAAGCGTGAATGTCTGGCGCCCTAACCGTGTTGGTGAGAGAATCCATCTAGTGGGGTTGTAAAACCCTGATTCTTTTGATAACAGGCTGTCTTGATATATTCCATGACCTTAGGGGCAATTCGCATGTTTATTAATAGCTCTCCCCCACAGTTTGGCTTGTTCATAAGGAATGAACTAGTTTTCTATTGACGCTATCGTCATTTCAGTAGACGTGTGTGTCTCACAATGCGAATATAGATTATTTACGGTGTTGCTTTATCCCCTGACGCAGTCTACGCTACTCCAAACTCTTAGCAGTAATTAAATGCCTTGGAAAGTTATGGTATGTGGTGTTTGCATTTTTATTTGGCGGTTTCTGAGTAGATTAGACAGAATTCCTGCTAAATACAATATGAACAATTACCACAGGGGACACCAGACATCATAAACATACGTTGCAAAACTGGCGCCTTATTGTTCCCCACAAGCCCTAACTTAGAGTAGGGACGCATTCTCGAACCCTGTCTTATCAACCTTGGTTATAGCAACCTTCATGTTCAATCTAAATCAAACCTTCATACATTTATTTGTTCTTGGTCTTTGAGTTGCGTTGTCATTGTTAAACCCTTGGCGTCCAATTATTGTTAAAAAATTGAGAAACATTTGTTCTGTCATCTGAGGTTTTAGTGGCCCGGTATCTTACTCCGTTTTGGATGAACAATTAATTCTGCTAATGAAATAACTTTCCCTTGTAAATTTGCATGTATTGCATTTGGACTAACCCCGTTGGTGCTATGATAGTAGTGAGAAACCCGATACGGAATTTTAGATGAATTCATTTTATACGTTTGCGTTTGCAGACAAACAACAATGATAAGCGTAAAAACAAAGCACAGAAAGCGATTAGGCCAACCTCATTTAATCTCGTACGACTAAGCATTTGTAATCAGATAAAAATGAGCTAGACATGTGTTAAACGAAGTAAGCATTGCACACACCTAAATATAAGCCTACAAAGTTATATGCAAATAATTAACAGGACCAAAATACAAATGAACATTGACTTGAGAATAGATTAGCTGACTCGTCCCAAATTTAAAACAGATCATGCGTGCTTGACATATTTGTTCTTCACACTAGTGTGCTTACCTGAAATATACACAATCAATGATAATTTCATTGTATTTCTAAGACCTGAAAATGTCCATCTCCTTACTGAATTGATTGAATCTAATTCCTATTCGAGTAAATTTTTAGTTAGGAGCGAGTTTTTAAAACGTTTTAATCTATTAGTTTTACAGATTGTACATCTACACCGAGTTATTTCTTAATTTACGCAAATTACTTCCCAATTCATCGCATTCATATTTAACTATTAACCAGGTATTAAAATGATACATAATTCAGTTTATTTTAGGATATTTTAATCATCGGTTGGTCTGTAGCAGACCTATTGTTGGTTCATAATAAAGTCACCTTACAGTCGTATCTTTTTCCTTGAATTGATTGAGTTCTTGCTTATTTGCGTCTGCAATTATAAGTGTTAATACTAATGTCTCATTACAACAATAAGGATGAATTTCGTTAACTAAAAGCGTCATCTGTCACTACTCTTTCAATATTATAAACTTGCTTTTCAGGAGTTGATGTATATGGCAGTCTACTGAAGATACCGTTTATCGAACAAGAACTATGAACTATGTACTTCTCACCCATAAAATATAAACAGCGCTGTGGACCTCGTCGATTTGGAGTACAATTATTCGGTACATAAGTGTCTTCAAGACCGTGTTGATTAGAATCAACCTATTCACTTCATGAGATTGTAATACCAGTACCAGAAAACTAATTAACACCAAGAATTATATATAATTAGATATATGCATAGTTTAAGTTGGTTCAACCTTCATCATACCCATAAAAGCACACAAGACCAAATTGGTCACAATCAAATGATGATCTTCATCTGATAATCATCTTTACCTTCTGGAACTTTTATTTATAGGCATTTTAAAAATATTGGCACGTAGTAGGACCATTACTTGAATAGTTTTAAGCATAAACGCTGTTTTAGACGTGGAGCCAAAGTCAGTATACAAATTAGTTTATCTATGTCTTCTGAAATAACTGCAATGTGAGGTGTATGTCTACCTTTTAACATTAATCAAAATTTTACGTATGTTATTGAATATTAAACATATCAATTTCCTAAGGTTTCATTGATGCATTTTACTTAACTGCTCGTTCCTGTCGTAGACTTGGAGTTACTTGGGTACACACTGTTGTATAAGTTAGGAGATTGTTTTGTTTTTTTCTCTATGATAACCCAAAGTGTGGCAACTAGGGCCGATACACGTTTGTGCGAGTTCCTATCTTGATGTTGGTCATTTGTCTGGTTGATGCAGCTATTTATTTTATCATCTTCGAAATAGTAGTATTTCGTTGTTTTTTTTTTATCAAATACAAATTATGACACCTTGTTTCTTTTCTAGGTGGTCCAAGATTTTGCAATGATGGAATTGAATGTTGAGTTGTTTTACAAAAATACTCAACCTGAAGAATTTGTTAGTATGGTACCGACATCTGCTCACACTGGTGATGGAATGGGTGATCTTCTTTCATGTTTATGTTTATGCTTACAGAACAGGCATAGCAAGAGGTTGGCGTACACAGAAGAGTTGAGTGCTTCGGTTATGGAGGTCAGTTTAGAAACTATGCCGTTGAGCACAATGTTATTGTATAGGATTTCTTTGTTATTTCGATTCTTCATACAGAATTAGTAGAAAAGTAGGATTATTCATGATTCATTTATTTATTGTTGTTGTTATTACTGGTTTTGCGCCAAATATTCATGCTAGCCTTGAAGCATTTTCAGTTCATCATCACAAAACTTCTTGTTAGCAGTGTCTGTTCACGAAAATAAATAAATTGCAATATTACATTTTTCTACCCTAATTTATATGATACAAATGGTAAGTGGTCAAATCTACTTCGATACCACATAATAAGAAGTTCTAGTAGTAAAAAATCCAATTTATTCATCTTTCATATGACATGTTTGAGGTTGTTGACATCAGTGGTTCTTTTATTGTGCCGGTGTTATGTTATATCGGTTACTGAAGAGGTTCAAGTGTGTGTATTCTTAAGGTCGCAGATAGGAAATCTGCTCTCATAATCAGCTTATGTAGACTCAGTGCGTTAAAAGGGAAGGCAGTTGCACTGTCAGCAATGACTGTAATTAGTGATGGATCTTAAGTTTTTAACACAAGGAATTTTCCTCTATCTTCTACGCCGTCATAAACTAGTCTTAGCTGATTTTTAATTCAGTTCCAACTACTTAAGTTATGTTTAGCATGGAAATTGTCTAGAATTAGTGTGTCAGTCGTTGTTTGAACTGCCAAAATCATTGTTTCAAGATGATATCGTTGGGTAAACAGTGATGTATATGTCGAATTCAAGACTTTGGGGTTATCCAGTGAGTACGATACCATTTAGCTACTGATACAACAAACGGTTTATGTTTTGCAACACTGACTAAAAACAATCAGTATGAGAAAACTTTCTCCAGCCCCGGCTTCCGAAATTTTTTAATACATTTACAGTGTGTCTCATACCTAAATACCTCATAGATAAGTCAGTTTGCTTTTTAATTTGTTTCATCAATTACTTTCTGTATTGACGTTTCTCATAACTGTTGTTCATCCTCAGTGACTCTTATAGACTAGGTTTGCAATCCTCAGACATATTTAATTTCTTTCGCTTCAGGATATTTCATATAGTTTTCTTTTGTAGTTTTTTTTCTCATTGCTTCATTTGTGTGCATCTTTCTTGGCTTGAATTTTGGTAAAGGTTAAAGAAATTCATGGCTTAGGCACTACAATTGATGTAATTGTTGTTAATGGTCGACTTCATGAAGGCGATACTATCGTCTTAGCTGGCCAGGAAGGTCCTATATGTACTCAAATTCGTGGTATTCTCCAACCTTCTCCAATGTCTGAGCTTCGTGTCAAAGGAACGTACAATCATCTGAAAGAAGTTATGGGTGCTCAAGGTGTGAAGATTATCGCCAAAGATTTAGAGAAAGCACTAGCAGGTCTTCCACTTTATGTGGCAAATGGATTATCAGAGGAATTGTATTACAAGGTTAGTAAGTTTATAAAAATTGATTTACTTTTACCATGAGATTTTATAACTTGGCTGCAGTGTAAACAAGTTTCACAATCCACTTTTCTCTGTAAGGATTAGTATATGCTTTTTGTTGACTTCATATGGTACTTTACTTAAAATGTTAAACATTGAGTGAAGATAACCATTGTTACTCTGGGAAGCATATCATAGTGAGGTATTTGTGTTATTTAGTTTACTGGGGTATATAGATAGACCTTATGGATGGTTTTTTTCCAGGGATTCATTCGGTGAAATCAGTACTTTATTTAATTCAACTCAGCTTCTTGCCAAGTCTGACTACTTTTGTTTAGATAGCTAGATGGGTTCTTCAACACCTCTAGTTTCGACTCTCTAAACTTTTCTCACTGAATCATACTTCTTGAATAGTATCTTCTAATCTTAACCTCTCCGATTACTTCTAATTCCCTTACTACCTCTTCTATTATTGGATTTGAATTGACGATTACTTCTCTGTGCTGATGTGGTATGGCAACATGAACTGATGTACTTATGTACAAAGTTCTACGTTGCATCTGACTGACTGACTGAGATAGCTAGATGTTGTTCTCCACATAATCCATGCAATGTATTGTTTTTATGTTGTTACATCATTATGGATTTGATTGAATTAATTCGGCGTTTTGTTTAAACCTCCTGCCAATTCCCCCAGTTAATATCTTTACAAGAAGTACTAATTTGAAGTTTATGCTGAAAATACTATCATTGAAATGATCTAGTTAGTATTGAATATGCTTCTGATTCATTAACTATTAAGTATTTTCTTTCGCCTTTTAACTCATTTGTACCTTTGATGAGTCACACATTATTTAGAAATTGTTTCATATGACATAACAATATACTAGTATGTATTCACCATACTGTTATGTGTGGACACGTCGTCGGATTCGAGGTCCTGGTACAAAACACAAGGAAGTCAAACGTTCAGCAGTCAACAGTGACAACCATAACATATGGAGAATTAATTTCTATCTTTTTTGGTCTAAATTTGTTCATCAATACTGTATACTTTAAAAATCAACCTTATTGTAAGAATCCGGGGTGTATTTGCGCACCCATATTCATTAAAGATCTGAGAAGTTTATTAATTTTAAGGATTAAAAAGTCTGTTAGGCTGACTGGATGTAACAACAGTATTTTACTTAGGTGTGTTAACTATTGTGAGGAATAGGCGGCCGACTAGGATCCTCCAGCCAACTCTGTCCTAGGCTCTTATTGCGTCTTTTCTAGATTGTTATGAATCTCTCTTCATAAAACCCAGCTATTCCTATTGCTTAGTATTCTCTGACAACAATACTATCGACAAGTCCCCAAATCAGAACACAGTGGGACAGGAAAGAGTTTATATTCTAAATAGCAAGTTTAAATGGAAGTAACAAGCCGAAGCGAAGGCTAAGACGAAATAGAAACAACGTTAGTATCTCTATAGTTTTTACATAAGAAGCTTCAGGAATCGAATCCGTGTGGTTGACTAGCGCTGGTCGATAAGATTTAGCCAATTAGCGTGCAGCTAACAACATGAGTATTGATCTTCCAGTATCGATCAGGCACTGATTGAATAGGAATTAGCCAATCAGCGCGCAGCCAACTCAGTCATGCTTTATTCCATCTATGTCCCACTAACATAGATGCTGTTCATTTTTTTAATGTCTGTCTTCAATCCTTGGCACATTGCGTTCTTTGGTCACCTACTTTTCCTTGTAACTTGAGGATTCTGAGTCAGGGTTTGCTTTGTGACTGATTTTGATTATTTCTGCTATTTATCCTACTGACGTCCGATGTCTCCTAATTGTTGAAAACGGGTTTGTTCTCTGCCTCAGTAGGTTATTACTAGCAGTGTCTGGCCAACGGCTCCTGAGTATGTTGGATAGACAGTTGTTTATATTTACCTGTTCCTTTTTGATGAAGACTGCATTAGTTGTCCAAGTTTCAGTTCTGTGCAGTCGAGTCTGTTAATATCTGTAGTCATTCAGTCAGAAACAACGTAAACTTCGTACATACGAACATTAGTTCAAGTTGGCATACAACGATAGCACAGAGATGCAATCATCGATTCAAATCTAATAGTAGTAGCAGTAATCGGAGATATTAGGATTTGAAGATGTTATTCAAGGAGTATAATCTAGTGAAATAAAGTTGAGAAACGAAAAATTAAAGCTATGAGGAATTCAGAAGATTAGAATTTGTGAGAACACAAAGAGTGGATGCACTTGCGCCATGGAAAACGTTTTTGAGCCATGTCATCCAAGGTCTCTAACCAGTAAATGTCTATCGACTATTCTGAGTCTGGTGTTGGCTGACATTTGTTTCAGGTTCCGGATGTTCTTCCATGGTAGGAATGCTGTCCTTGCTTTACCAGTTTGTCCGTTCACATCCACATCCGATCCTCTTGTTTATCAGTGATGCTAGTGAGTCAGTTTTCACATCTTCCAGAGCTACCTCATCGAGTGTGATTTGTTTGATAGTCCATACCTAATTCTCTTCATTTATCAGGGCTTGGCAATCAATCAATCAATCAATCAACACCAATGTAGAACTACGTACGTGCGTACATCAGTTCATGTTGCCATATCAAATTAACACAGGGATGTAATTTTCAATTCAAATCCAATAGTAGTAGAGGTAACAAAGGTAGTAGCAGTAGTCGGAGAGATTAGGACTAGAAGATATTATTCAAGAAGTAGAATCTAGTGAAATAGACTTAAAGAGATAAGGATAAAGTGATGAAGAATTAAAAGGTTTAGGGTTTGAGAGAACACAAAGAATGAATGCACCTGCGCCATTGCAATCGGTTGTGGGCCATGTTCATTCAGGGTCTCTCACCATCGATTATTAACATCTCGCGGACCCCAACCAGGTAGTCGACGCCTACCGACATGACTCAGTCCACTTGTCAATTACTTCATGAATTTCTGCCATGTTTTGGTCTGGCCGCCCCATCAGGGCTTGGCATTGTGACATTATGCAATATTGCTTCATACTACTGAGCAGGAACATTTCAACACCTTATTTACTAATGAACGAATTATGGGAGTAATAGATGCATCATATTGCAATGTGCAAGAGGGTTTTATAAAAATTACGACTCCTAACTTATTGTATTCAGATTAACTAACTAGTAATTACAGTACATAAATAAATTCTATTTAATAGAAATTAAATTGAAATATGGTCTATCAGAATATTACCAGAAATAATACTTAAATATTGTGTCGGGTAAGCGTTATTTTCATTTTAATGCAGTAGTTTGTATTCGTCACAAAAATTTATCAACAAATAAAATAACACTCACAACATCAACAATAAATGATTATGAATAGTGGCATATGTTAATGGTTAAGGTGTCCGATTCCTGGCCACTAAGTTCCAGATTCGAACCCTGTTCCATTTATATTTGGGCAACCAGGTAGTATCATTAACCTTCACATTTCGAGTATGACTCATGTCCACGTGCCTGGTAAGTGAATTAATATGATTTAGGTACTTAAAAATCATGTACTACTGTAGTGAACGAGAACACAGGTGGGGCAACCGGATTGTATTTAACGAAAATTACAGAGTTACTCAGTAAAATCGGAACAACCATATCGTAAATCGTTCATTTGCAAAATATCAGTCCATCATATCGAACTGGACTGTTCCTGTTGCAAAACAGCAATCCATTGTCACTACTCATGCGTTTCATACAAATTCCCTTGTGTTCTAACTCTTCCTTTCTTGATCTTCCCACATCTGCTGCCAGACATTACGTTGACACTCACGTCATATACTACTTATAAGTAGCTCGCACCACACTCGTCCCCCCTTTTAATAAGCTGTCGTCGTAGTCTTTCAAAACAGGGACCTTGGTCAGTTAATATCACCTTCCGTATTCCGTGACACGCTACAGTATGCCGGATTACTACTTCTTTCATTGTTCTTGCCCGCTTGTCTGGAATGGGTACGGCATCTATCCAACGTGTAGCGTTTACTAGTTCCCGCTGCTGGGACACGGCGGCAGGCACACTCTCGATAAATTGTGACGCCAACAACTGTGCCCCCCGACTCCCCATCCATACTCAGCACTACTACTACTACTACTGCTACTGCTACTACTACTACTACTACTACTACTACTACTACTACTACTACTACTACTACTACAGTATCCATCTTGGTAATTTTATCCTATTACATTGATATGCTGTGGCAACTTGAACTGATGCACATTTGTGTTGGGTCTTGTGATACTTACATTGGACTGGTTGACTTTCCTAATAACATTTTTTGTTGAATATTCGTGTAAAATTCACCTCCAGTTTACAATAGTACATAAGTTATTCTTTAAAATGTATAGACATACATTGTTTGTAGTTTTAAGATGATAAGCACACATTATATACAACTACATCTTCATCTTACATAATCAAAAATGGAGAAATAATAATCAGTGCTGCTTACTACTACTACTTTCGCCTGTTACCCCCAATGGAGCATAGGCCGCCACCAGTTTTCTCCAACCAACTCTGTCCTGGGCTTCCCTCTCCAGTTCTGTCCAATTTTTGTTGATTCCTCTCACATATTTCTCTATTTCTCGGCGTAGAGTGTTCTTTGAACTTCCTCTTTTCCTTTTGCCTTCAGGGTTCCATGTGAGTGCTTGTCTTGTGACGCAGTTAGGTGCTTTTCATAGTGTGTGTCCTATCCACTTCCACCGCTTCTTCCTGATTTCCTACTCCACTGCAATCTAGTTTGTTCTCTCCCACAGTAGGTTGTTGCTGATGGTGTCTGACCAACGAGTCCAAAGTATTTTGTGTAGACAATTGTTAATAAACACTTGTATCTTCTGGATGATGGCTTTGGAAGTTCGCCATGTTTCCGCTCCATACACTAGAACTGTCTTGACATTTGTTTTGAAAATTCTGATTTGCATGTTGGTTGATATTTGTTTGGAGTTCCAGATATTTTTCAACTGTAGAAATGCAGTCCTTGCTTTGCCAATCCGCGCCCTCACATCTGCATCGGATCCACCTTGATTGTCGATGATGCTACCAAGATATGTAAAGGTGTTAACGTCCTCCAAGGCATCTCCATCAAGAGTAATTTGGTTGGTGCATGTTGTGTTGCATCGGAGAATTTTGCTTTTTCCTTTATGTATGTTGAGACCTACTGCTGCAGAGGCTGCTGCTACACTGGTCGTCTTTTCTTGCATTTGTTGTTGCGTGTGAGATAGAAGAGCCAGGTCATCTGCGAAGTCCAGATCGTCCAGCTGCGTCCTAACTGTCCAGTTGATACCGTGCTTCCCTCCAGATGTCGATGTCTTCATAATCCAGTCGATCACCAGGAGAAAGAGAGAGTGAGAGTAAGCAACCTTGCCTCACACCAGTCTTCTCCTCGAAAGAGTCTGTTAGCTGTCCTTCGTGTACGACTTTGCAGTTGAATCCATCATAAGAATTCCGTATGATGTCAGCTATTTTCTCAGGCACCCCGTAGTGTCGAAGAAGCCTCCACAGTGTTTTCCTATTCACGCTATCTAATGCTTTCTCGTAGTCGATGAAGTTGATGTAGAGTAGTGAGTTCCATTCAATTGATTGTTCCACAATGATCCGTAATGTAGCAATTTGGTCAGTACACGATCGATCCTTACGAAATCCGGCCTGTTGATCTCGAAGTTGGTCGTCTACGAAGTCCTTCATTCTGTTTAACAATACCCCGTTGAAGACTTTGCCTGGTATTGGAAGAAGAGTGATACCTCTGTAGTTCTCACACTTGCTGAGATCGCCTTTCTTTGGTATTTTGATCAGTGCAACTCCTTGTGTATGTGAAGCATTTTTCTTTTCATGATCAGAGTATAACAGCAGTTCCCCTGAAGCTAGTCTCAGTTGTCCTGCCTGTGTCCAATGCGTTTCACTGATGCTGAGCACCTCGAGGTTGTATGTTTTCATTTCTGCCGCAACTTGAAATAGTCTTCCAGTCTCCAACAATGTACGAACGTTCCATGTACCTGGAAGAATGGTTGCTCTGGTTGTCAGAAGAGGCATCAGCCCCGTGACTACCGAGGGAACCCGGCTTTCATCACACGACGTCATAATTCTTCTTCCGACTCCCAGAGTTAAAATGGTTTGGATCACTTTTTCTGGTTAGCGTTTTTTTGGCAAGTTAGATTTCGACGGAATGGGGTCGCCAACCCCATGTCCAACCCTCCTCCTTTACCTGGGCTTGGGACCGGCAGTAGCCCCGAAGGTTCTACTGGCGGAGTTAATAATCAATGCACTTAGAATTAATTTTTTTTTAAAGTTTATATCAACATGAAATTATTTTGCTGCTTTTTTATTCCGAATTCTTTCTTTTAGGCAGAAGTGCGTCAAGGTTTAGAACATGCCTTAGAAGCTATTTCTGTTAGTCCTCTAGGTGTGTATGTTGTTGCTAGTACACTTGGATCATTGGAATCTTTATTGGTCTACTTGAAATCCATTGATATACCGGTGAGTAGTAAGTAGTATAGTATGTGTATGTATATGTTGATAAACATTAGTCATATTTGAATATATATATATATATATATATATATATATATATACTTATACACGTAAAGTAAATTAGTCGTCTGGTCCTGATAAACCTAAGTACATTGATTTTTAGCGAGATTACTACTGAATGGTTTCAGTATGTATGGGAGTCTCATCAGTGCCGATGGCCTGGTGACTGACGAAATCTCAGCTCGGATACAGAAGGCTCGATTGGCTTTCGCCAACCTGCGTCACTTATGGCGTAGGCGTGATATCCGTTCTCTAATCAAAGGACGAGTGTACTGTGCAGCAGTTCACCCCGTTCTCCTATATGGCTGTGAAACATGGCCAGTTAGAGTAGAAGATATTCGTAGGTTACTGGTTTTCGATCATAGGTGTCTTCGAAGCATTGCTCGTATACCGTGAGACAACCGAGTAAGCAATGCTGTCGTTAGGAAACGAGTACTAGGCAAGGATGGTAGATCAATCGATGAAGTGGTGAAACTTCATCAGTTGAGGTGGTTGGGACACGTGTTGCTTATGCCCAACCACCGACTGCCTCGACGAACTTTTTTTTGTAGTGTAGGAGTAGGTTGGAAGAAAGTTAGGGGCGGCCAGACCAAAACATGGCAGAAATCCATGAAGTCATTGACGAGTGGACTTAGCCATGTTGGTAATTGTCGACTACCTGGTTGGGGTCCGCGAGATGATAATAATCGATGGTTAGAGACCTTGAATGACATGGCTCAAAATCGTTCGCAATGGCACCGATGCATTTATTCTTTGTGTTCTCTCAAATCCTACTCTTCTGGATTCTTCAACACCTCTAGTTTTGACTTTCTAAACTTTTCTCACTGAATCATACTTCTTCAATAATATCTTCTAACCCTAACCTCTCCGATTGCTTCTAATTCCCTTACTGCCTCTACTACTACTGGATTTGAATTGACAATTATATCTCTGTGCTGATGTGGTATGGCAACATGAACTGATGTACTTACGTACGAAGTTCTACGTTGTATCTGACTGACTGTATGAATCGTGTAACAGCACAACTACAATTACTAGTATATACACATTGAACAATGCAGACAGAAATGATACATTAAATATTTTCTAGGCTAAATAACACATTTGTTTATCCCACTTTGGAGCTATACTCTTTATGTGTGTTGATATATTTCAACGTTTTACCTATTCCACTCTACGATTCTAGATATCACGTAGAAAGACTACTTTAACAAAATTCTCTCTCTTTACATGTTAGGGCTTGTTAAAATGTTTTACATATAGCTAGACGTTTAGATGCGGTAACAGCAGTCTAATCAATGTCACTATCTCAAAACACTGGTTTTGATGGTTTGAACGTGTGTTATGAATATCATCCCAGCGACTCGCACATCATGCTTTTTTTTGAAGATTTCGGGATGGTTTAGAAAAAGCGAATAGGTGGTCAGTGTATGTATGACATGGTGTTAAAGAAGTATATCAGCAGGTTATACAAGACTGACATTTGTCTGTCCTTTACGACTCACTGGTTGGCGTCCTATTAATATTAGTGCAACGAAGTCACTTGAGACATTTTCAAGCATGAGTCATAATAGAAGCTGGTTATATTTTCTTGAACTGAGCTACATCTATCATGGTTGACTTTTTCATGCTCATACACTAATTTCTGCCCATTTTTTAAAATTATCTCTTCATAATCTCATTTCGATTGTTTAACGCATGTATGTTTTTGGTGCCTGTTTTATGCCGACCAATATTATATATATTGACGGAAATGAATAAATATCTCATTGGTAAACAGATGTTGCCTGTAAAGTGGGTGGTGGTTCAGTGATCAAGCAGCTCGTTTTTTTTGGTCATTTGGTTACTGCTTTCAACTCTATTCCACCTATTTTGGTTTAGAAAAAAAACTGAATATTGTCACCACTACTAATCAAGTTAAGCGTGACCCACAACCGTGTACATTCACCTGTACCTGATAACATCAATTAGTAATCGTAATAATGTAGTGAACGAGAACACAGGTGAGGGCAACCGAATTGTATTTAACGAAAATTACAGAGTTACTCAGTAAAATCGCAAAAACCATATCGTAAATCGTTAATTTGCAAAATATCAGTTCATCCTATCGAACTGGACTGTTCCTGTTGCAAAACATCAATCCATTGTCACTCACTATTCATGCGTTTCATACAAATTCCATTGTGTTCTAACTCTTCCTTTCTTGATCTTCCCCCTATCTTCTGCTGCCAGACATTACGTTTACACTCACGTCATATACTACTTATAAGTGGCTCACACCACAATAGTAGTAATAGTACTAATAATAGATTGATCTGATAATATTTCATTTGTTTTTTCAATTCTACCTCCACTCGATCATCAGTATTCAGGTATCAATATTGGTACAGTGCATAGAAGAGATGTCATGAAAGCATCGGCTATGTGTGAACGTGAACCGAAATGGGCAGTTATTTTGGCATTTGATGTACGAGTTGATAAAGATGCAAGAAAGTTGGCTACACAATTGAATATGAAAATTTTCACTTCAGAAATTATTTACCACCTTCAAACTCAAATGGATAAATATATGTAAGTAAATTGTTTTAAAATTTTCTGATTTGAAGCGAACAAGAACGGAATTCAATTGTTAATTGATTGTTACATTGTTAGGTTCTCCTCTAATCAGCTATTTTAATTTTGTAATATCTCGTAATCAAAGTATGAAGACGCCATTATTATTTAACTATCATGTCTTCACTATGGACTTGTTTTTAAGAGATTACTCTGAAGTTGTATTGAGAATACATGGTCATTAGGATCCTTATTTTTTGAGTGTAAGACAGTTAGTTAGTTACCTGCCAAAGACAATGTGAGATTATTGCAAAATGCTATGGATTGAGTGGAGTTAGACATGTGTATCGTTATGCTCTAGCTCAGCGGTCTAGAGGTGAGTATTACCCGCAAGACTCAAGGATCCTGAGTTCAGTCCCCAGTGAAATCGTGGAGCTGCACTTCTGAGTAGTCTCCAGTGCTTCCTGGTTTCCAGCAAAGGTTTACTGTAGATAGCTTCATTAATGTCAGTGATATACTATTACTATGTATAATTTCCATATTAAAATGTTACTGTTTTCAAGCCGCTGATCGAACAGAATCTAACAAAATAAGATCTCATGTTATGCACTATCAGTCAGTCAGTCAGTCAGTCAGATACAACGTAGAACATTGTACGTAAGTACATCAGTTCATGTTGCCATACATTATCAGCACAGAGGTATAATTGTCAATTCAAATCCAAAAGTAGAAGAGGTAGTAAGGGTATTAGGAGTAATCGGAGAGGTTAGGATTAGAAGATATTATTCAAGAAGTATGATTCAGTGAGAAAAGTTTAGAAAGTCAAAACTAGAGGTGTTGAAGAATCCAGAAGATTAGGATTTGAGAGAACACAAAGAATAAATGCATTGGCGCCATTGCAAACGGTTTTCAGCCATGTCATTCAAGGTCTCTAACCATCGATTATTATCACATCGCGGACCCCAACCAGGTAGTCGACAATTACCGACATGGCTAAGTCCACTCGTCAATGATTTCATGACATGACATTACTCTAAGTAAAATGGCAGGTGTAAGTTAACTAGTAATTCTGATGTATCGCACCCTTCTCTGTCTAATTCAGTTTAGGAAACTAATCGATGTCACTAGCCCTCATTCAAACTGTAGGTCAAAACTCTATGTGTATGTTAAGAACTCAAGAAATATAAATAAACAATGAATACATTTATTTTCTGCTAGTCTTTCGATGAATATACAGTGTGAAATTATAAAGTTAATCTGTTACGCAAAGTTCAAAGAAACCATTCTCATCTATTGTGTGTAGTTAAGAATTTTAAAATGACATTTGTAAAACAACTAATATTTTTTTTCCTAGCTCTCTACTTTGACAATAACAACCTTTATGCATTTCTTTGTTTGAAATATTGACTTTGTCAACTATACATGCTCATGTGCTTAAATGCACACCAAACTTATAAATTATATGTATTTTACTCACATTTAATATGATACATTGCTGACTAACTTTCCAAACCATGGCTAACTAACTATATTGTTTAATGGAAATTTCAGTCTGAAAACCGTGAGTAGAGTCTTTGTATTTATCCATCGTTCTACTTAGTAATTTTAAACATTTCTCGATTGTTGATCGATTACATGATCTGTAATACAAATTAGTCAATGTTAAGTTCTAAGCATTCACTTGATGAATTTAGAAATTGGCGTAACTTTAATTAATGAAATCAAGTTAATGGTCAAATTTGTGTTAGTATACACGAAGAATTTATCCGTACAAGGGCTAATGACATATTACTCTGTCGAATATATGATATCCGTTGTAGAGGATCTGAATCTACAATACAATGACGTAAAGTCGAAGAATTCAGTTCGTAACATTGAATAATAAAATAAATGATGGATTCCAAAATAACATGTTGGTGACATTAAAACCATCCAGGTAGTGTATATCCATCCATTTCTAAATTTAATGATCAGTAATATTGTGGTGCGAGGTACTTATAAGTAGTATATGACGTGAGTGTCAACGTAACGTCTGGCAGCAGAAGATTGGGGAAGATCAAGAGAAAGGAAGAGTTAGAACACAATGGAATTTGTATGAAACGCATGAATAGTGAGTGACAATGGATTGATGTTTTGCAACAGAGGAACAGTCCAGTTCGATATGATGAACTGATATTTTGCAAATTAACGATTTACGATATGGTTGTTCCGATTTTACTGAGTAACTCTGTAATTTTCGTTAGATACAATTCAGTTGCCCTACCTGTGTTCTCGTTCACTACAATATCAGTTGATTAGTTGTCCAAAATCATCTGCATATTGCTGCTAATGTTTTTGCTCAACCAATGTTGTTTTTTTTGTGTTTGGAAATTTACTAACCCCACTTATTAAATTTTTTTTAATTTTTAAAAGCTTGTCATTAATTTCCCTTTTATTTGGTATAATAGGCTCGATTTGAAGACAGGAAATCAACGTAAACATCGTGATTTGGCTGTGTTCCCTTGTAAACTACGTATATTACCTGAAATGATATTCAATAAACGTGCTCCAATTGTTGTTGGTGTTCGTGTTGAAGCTGGTGTAGTACGTGTTGGTACTCCTATTTGTGTACCCAGTCGTGAATGTGTTCATCTAGGACGTATATTCTCCATTGAAAGTAATCATAAACCTGTAGAAGAAGCACGTACCGGCATGGAGGTTTGTGTGCGTATTGATCCGACTGATGGTGAAACTCCTAAACTGTATGGACGACATTTCGATCTAAACGATTTATTAGTTTCAAAGGTATGTATCCTTTTCTCAATGATTTCTTTTTATTATGAATTTGAATATATATGATGTCTTACTGATTTCCATTTTCTTGCCTTTCTAGATAAGCCGAGAAAGTATTGATGTAATGAAAGAATACTTTCGTTCTGATTTGAAAAAAGAAGATTGGAAGCTAATGATCGAATTGAAAGAAGCTTTGGATATTTCTTAGTTTTCAAAACTTTACTGCCACGCAACAAAGTCAAGCAATGTTATTTTTATTGTGTTTCTATACACATACGTTGTTGATCACTTATTAGATTCCGATTGGTTCGGGTATCTTTTTTTGAAATTTTGAATAGTTATCTAATTTATTTTATTGTCTGATCCTGTCGACGAGAAGTTCCAGTCGCTTATTCTCTTCCTTTTTTGAAAGTTCCACGAGACTCGACACTTACTACTATTATTATTATCAGTAATCTGCACAATATCGACTATTAAACTAAAAATTTTTTTATATGAAATGTTATTCTTGACAGAACGGAATTTCCATGTGTATAAATAGGTATATATTATTGTATAAATATGTTGGTTATATATTTTGATGTGTAAAGTAAATCAGTCACTTAGACTTTAAATAAATAACTCGGTATCAATACTGACCATGTGTTGTTTCAACTCAGTGTTAGGGATATTTGTGTATCATTTGAAGACTTTAATTTCGATTTATTTTGATTGTTTAAGAGTTATGGACACTGTGGAGCTCCTTACGATACATCAGAGTCCAATTTTCACTGGTTTCATAAGATAAAATGCACAGATTATGGCTTTATCTCTACCATAAAAATGTTGGTCTCATTCAAAAACTTAACAGGACTCTGTAATATTAAACAAACATTATACTGTATCTCAGCTGCTATGGTTTGTTGAGGATAGAAGATAGAAAAAATAATGACCAAATATATGTATAATGCCGAGTATGGTGAATCAGAAACCAATAACGTCACCATCAGTGTTTTCTAACTGTGAAAGTATTCATATTCGGATATGGTTACCACTACATATTCATTTATGATGAATAAAAGTTAACTTTGAGAACTACTGTTATAAGATGACTCACGAATCTAAACACAGCTTTTTAGTGAAAAAAACAAATAAGCCTGATTGAAAATCTGTCCTTATACGCAAACACGCAACTTGTGTGTTCCTTATTTTCTTGCGCCTGTTACCCCCGATGGAGCATAGGCTGCCGACCAGTATTCTCCAGCCTAATCTGTCCTAGGCTCCTCTTTCCATTTACGTCCAATTTTTGTTCCTTCTTCCTATGTCTGCCTACATTTCTTTGCCCAACGTGTCCCTTGACCTTGAGAGTTCCACGCGAGGGCTTGTCTTGTCATGCAGTTGGGTGCTCTCCTCAATGTGTCCTATCCACTTCCACCGCTTCCTCCTGATTTCCTTTACCGCTGGAATCTGGTTTGTTCTCTTCTACAGTAGGTTGTTGCTGGTGATGTCTGGCAACCGGTTCTCAGTATTTTGCGTAGACAACTGGTAATGAATACTTGTATCTTCTGAGTGATGGCAGTTACACTGATCGTCTTCTCTTGCATTTGTTGTTGCGTGTGCGATAGAGGAGCCAGGTCATCTGCGAAGTCCAGATTGTCCAGTTGCATCCTGGCTTTCCGTTAGATATCGTGCTTTCCTCCAGATATTGACGTCTTCATAATCCAGTCGATCACCGGGAGATAGAGAAAAGGTGGGAGTACGCAACCTTGTCTGACAGCAGTCTTCACTCGCAACGAGTTTGTGAGCTATCTTCCATGCACGATCGTACAGTTTATTATATTATAGGAATTCCGTACGATGTTGACTATTTCCTCAGGCACGCCTCCATAGTTTTTTCCTGTCCAGGCTGTCGAATGCTTTCTCATAGTCAATGAATTTGATGTAGAGTGGTGAGTTCCATTCAACTGATTGTTCCACAATGATACGTAATGTTGCTATATGGTCTTTCTTTGGTATCTAGGTGAGGTATCCTTCCTTCCAGTCGTTTGGTACTTGTTCTCTATCCCAAATCTTGTTGCAGGGAATGTGGAATATTTTCGCAGTTGCTTCCACGTCTGCTTTCATTGCCTCTGCTGGAATGTTGTCTCGTCCCGCGCGTTTGCGGCTCGTGATTCGACTGATGACCATGTTAATTTCTTCAATTGTTGGTGGGCCGACGCCGATTGGGATGTCAATAGGTGCTGCTTCGTTATAGGGTAGGTTCATTGGAGTTGGTCGATTCAAGAGTTCCTTAAAGTGCTCTACCCACCTGTTTGGCTGTTTTTCAGTGTTGCCAATCACTTTGCCTTCCTCTCTTTTCACTGGTTGTTCTGGTTTACGATAGTTTCCGGCGAGCTTCTTTGTTGTATCATGAAACTATCTCAAGTTTCTTTCTCTTACAGCCTTTTCCTCCGTCATTGTTAGATCTTCCACATATTTTCGTTTGTTGGCTCTGATGCTCCTCTTTACTTGCTTGTTTGCCTATGTGTATTCAGCTTGTGCCTTAATTTTCTCTGCTTTTGTTCGGTTGATATTGATTGCTGCCTCCTTTTCGAGAACAGCAATAGACATCCGATCCTTGTGATGGTACTTCTTGTAGTCCAGAACATCCTGATATTTTGAAGTGATTGCCTCCACCTTGATCCCTTTCCAATTTTTCTCTATGGTTGTATTCTCTCCATTGATTGGATCGTGAAGAGCCTGGATCATAGGGCTGAGGGCTATCTTGCATTCGTTGAGCTTACCAGTATCAAAAAGTGTGGCCGTATTATACTTTTGTGATTATGTCAGCTGCGTTGTCTAGTGCTTCTGGAGTCTCAGTTTCATTTTGGCTTCCAGCAAGTGATGATCTGAATCTATATTATCTGCTCTCTTGGTTCTCATGTCCTACATGGTCATTTTGAACTTTTATTTATACAGAGATGTTCGACTTGGTTCTGTGTAGTGTGGTCATGTGAAATCCATGTAGATTCGTGTATGCATTTGTGTGGTAGTATTGTCCCGCAGATGACTAGTTTGTTGAAGGCATATAGGTTTTCAAATCTTTCACCATTTTCGTTCATTTCTCTTAGTTCACGTCGGCCCATCATGTCTTCATATCCAGTGCTGTCCATGCCAAACTTGGCATTTAGGTCTCCCATTAGAATGTTTAAATCCTTTTTGAGCATTTCCCAACAATAGACTGTGGAGAGTCCTAAATGTCCAACCTAAGCCCAATGCGTTTCACTAATTCCAAGCATTTACAGGTTGTATCTTTTCACTTCTGAAGCGATTTGAAACAGTCTTCCGTCCGTCCAAACTGTTCGAACATCCATTGTACCGAAAAGAACGGTTGCTCTGGATGTCAGAAGGGATATCGGTCTCGTAACTTCCGAAGAAGCAGAGCTTTCATCATGAGACGTCATAACTCCTCTGAATGAAGAGCTCCTAACTGTCAGGACAGAGTTAAAATGATTTGAAATGATTTGACTGGTTAGCGTCTATATAGCGAGTTAGTTTTCTACGTGATAGGGTCTCCAAAGCTTCGCCTTACATCTCATCCTTTGTCTGGGATTGGTAACAAACAATCTAATTATTTGTTACTACGGATGACATCCAAATAAATCCCTGGAAGAAAATTTCAATGTCAATCATCTGACAGAGCGAAAGACCTTGCAAGTTTAAATATAAACATTCAGAGCTCGCGTTCTCCCTACGAGTATGGCAATGCAGGATCAAAGAATCGACTAGACAGATGTTGAAACTCAGCGAAACTGACAGCAGTGAGATCCGAAAAAATTTTTCCATGAGCAAGTATAAACCAATCGAATTCTTCGCACTCGATGTTTGTCTCTTTAGTAAGGTTACAGGAATCGATTTGTGTACAATGGATGGTAGTCTAACCACTCGACTGCAATAATTCTGGTCAGCTGATAGTTGCTTGTGAATTTGCATGCCCTGTGATTTGAATGAGTAGGTTTGTCTCAGAGTAGTGAGGTTTCTAGAAACTAGCAGATATTACATCATCAGGTCTCACATCATTCAGTTGCAATATTGAGAACAATAAGGAGAACAATCTCATGCTAATGCGAAGAAGACTTCAGAACTAAGTAAATAAATGGATGACTTAGTTTAATAATTGGTAGTGAAGATTGTGCGGGAGGACGGAAGTGTATGGACAAGGGGAAGGAGACAGATAATAAGTGAGAAAGATTAGGCGAGCGACCTGAGTAGATGGCAGCAATAACAACTAGCAAGTTTTAAGCCATTCGGGGGACTGAAATCAGCCTACTGTTCGCCGATTTTGATGTGCTATCATCAGTGTGTATTGTGCAGAATTTAGGACTTATTCTGCTATTGCTTCTAGTAGTTCAACTACGGCGTGCCGGTCGGAGGGATCTCATTTATTATGTACTGAATGTCTACGATACTCTTAAGGAGGCGATTATCTGACATTTTATCCCATCCTGTGTAGAATGACTGAGGAACCTATCGGCATATCACTTTGATGCTAAACTAAGCCATCACCTCACGCACCCCTATTCGTTAGCAGGACCTTCGACCACGAACTCTGACATAGACAGGGAACTGTGGTTACAGGTATTACCAGTTCATATACAGCACAAAATCAATGCACTGTTCGAAGATACATAGTTTACTAGGGTCGAACTCGTAGCAGATGAAATCGATGACTATCATTGAAGACAACTATCTGATCGCCTCAACGTCACATTCGAATGAGGATGTCGACGTTAGTCATACTTGAGCTCAAATGAACTGGAGTTGTATTCACAGTCGTCTAATATCCATGTCCTAGCACCCAACATCCCTCGAGCCTAATTACGAACATATCGGGCTGTAGCTGCTGCATACCACAAGCTAGCACATTCCAAGGTGCCCACAAAAGGCGGCTGCGGAATCAAGCACTGATCTTTTCTGGATTCATCGTGCCTCCGGGTTCGCTCCTTGTTCTTGTCAAGCTTCATGCTTATACAATTCAAGAAATGCCCATGATAGCCAGGAAATGCGGCCGTACTCGCCGGCCTTTAGTTAGGCTTATCATTTATTTTACTTGCACGATTTCTGCTCTAACACCAGATGTCTAGTTGATGCATATGCCCAGGTTTCTATCGTACCGACTGGTAGCCCCAAGCTACGACTATTCGAGTACACACTGCATATGACTCCGTCTTTCGTACCTACGGTACATGACATCTAACGATCAATCTGAGTAACTGACGACAGAATCTGTGCTGCTTCATCCTTTCTTGTGTCCCTACATCCATGAAGGCTGTCGATTTCCTAGAGCACTAAGAATTTGTAGTATATTCACATAAACTGCAGTAATTCGATAATTCGTCGAATAATAAATTTAAAGGTGTCAAAGCATAACTGGCTGCTTACGGAACTACTCGTGTATTTAATTTGTATAGCTACGCATTTCATGATTTAACTAAACATCAAAAAGATTTCATCCCGGAGTAATCACGTAGCCTCCAGTATACACATGGTACAAAAATGGTGTTAGTTGGAGACCATGCGATGATCACAGAGTATTACTGGCAGCTTTAGAACGAGACATGATAAACACCTACTCAAACACGGGTTATCATATAACAATTGGATCATATATGCCTGATGCATGTCTTGAAACTTGCAAGTTGTTATTATTTCCGTCTCAGATCACTAACCTAATCTATCTCACTTATTATCTGTCTCCTTCCCCTTGTCCATACACTTCCGTCCTCCCGCACAATCTTCACTACCAATTATTAAACTAAGTCATCCATTTATTTACTTAGTTCTGAAGTCTTCTTCGCATTAGCATGAGATTGTTCTCCTTATTGTTCTCAATATTGCAACTGAATGATGTGAGACCTGGTGATGTAATATCTGCTAGTTTCTAGAAACCTCACTACTCTGAGACAAACCTACTCATTCAAATCACAGGGCATGCAAATTCACAAGCAACTATCAGCTGACCAGAATTATTGCAGTCGAGTGGTTAGACTAACCGATTCCTGTAAACGTACTGAAAAGGCAAACATCTAGCCCAAAGAAATCGATTGGTTTATACTAGCTCAAGGAAAAGATATTGGATATTGGACATCCTCAGTAGGTCGTAGTAAGCATTCATTCAAATCACAGGGCATGCAAATTCACAAGCAACTATCAGCTGACCAGAATTATTGCAGTCGAGTGGTTAGACTACCATCCATTGTACACAAATCGATTCCTGTAAACGTACTGAAGAGGCAAACATCTAGCCCAAAGAAATCGATTGGTTTATACTAGCTCAAGGAAAAGATATTGGATATTGGACATCCTCAGTAGGTCGTAGTAAGCATTTTGAAGATGGGGTTTTTGTTCTTTTTCCATCAGACCTAGGTAAAGATGCTCGCTGATACTTAAAAATGTTTATTCATTTTTTTTTGAAGTGTAAGATAACTAATATGTTTTTACGCTCTCATAATGCTCTTCTTAAGTCTTGATTGGTTCACTCTATGACGTTAGTGTGTTTCGCTTATATCGCGTTAATTCAAACGTTGGTTCAGGGGGCCATTTGAGAGGCAAAGCATGCTTTAACTTTTGTTTTGCTATTTCAGAAGCTTCTAATAAGGTGGTCAGTGTACGTATTAATATATTATATGTCTTAGCCTATAAACACTGGTATCAATGTGTTTGTAAATATTTATACTCTTCTGGAGTCATGGAATTTGTCGGTGTACTGAAATACTGTTCATGTGTTCAAACTGAAACAGCTAGTTTTCTCGTGGTCCACTCCTGGGCCTTTGACATAGGTCTAATCCGCAAGACAGAAGCAATGTTTGGAGACACTCATTCTAGCCGGTGACCAATGATAGGTTCATACACCATTCGTGACTTTAAGAAACTGGAGCGCATGTGCAACATCAGTATGGAATCAAGGTTTTCTAACCGCCTAGAGCTCTGTTGAACAGTGGTTTTTCATATCAATTCCGTAAACAATTAGAGAATGTAGTGACTAGGACTTCCCTGCCAGTGGCCATATACCTACGGCCAAATTGAAATCATTTCAAGAAGGAAACCGGATTCCTCTCTCCTGGCCATATCAGCAATTTTCTATAATATGATTAACTTGGGTAAGTGTTTTAAGATCATTTCTATTGTCGCACTTCCAAATAGAAATTCAAAGCTGAGTATGTTTCTGTCTACTGAAAGGTAAACGTCAAATGAGATAATTTTCCCGTTTACAAAATTGTATACTAGTTCACTGGTTAGATCTATTTTGATGTGTCCAAACACGGTTTTCGATTGAGCACATGGAGCTAGAATCTAATGTTACTGCTAATCAATTGGTTTTTCGTCTACTTGTTGAGCTAAAACTAAGTCGTTCCATAACTTAAGTAACTGATGTAGTTTATCAAGCACCTTACAAAAATCGATGCGATATTACTACTACTTTGTAGCTACTTATTTAGTTATCGTGTTTTCTATTTCATCAGAGCACGGTAATGAATAGTCAACTGCATATAAAGGATTGTCCAGATAAGGAGAATTGCCGCCATTCTCTCAAAGTTCTGGACTGCGTTACCAATATTGAGAAATCTTTAAATCGTGAGATTATTTTAAACGGTTCTAATTTCTTGACTGGATTATTTCGTGTTACTCCTGGTATATGGCCGAAAATTTCCAAAGCTGAGAATAGATCAGGACCGTCAAATTCTTATCACTCAATACAACGTAGTGAATCTCGTGTGAACTTGTGTTCTCAAATTCCACCGGAATCTTATTGCTCAAATTCTCAAGAATCCTTACAACTTGCATCGATGGAGGTGAGTTGTATGATGCAGTAGGATAGTAGTCACTACATATAGCTTATTGATGCATTTAGTACTTGCTGAGCATAGATAAAAGATTGTCGCGATGTAGTTGGATTATATTTTTATGGAGCCTGATATGAATAGTTGGATTTATCAATGAAAATTGTTGACGATATTGAAAACAATGCTGATTTATTTAGTCGTTATCGTTCTGTAAATTATCATCCTAGACTTGATCACAGATTAGCTTTGATTTTACTTGACTCTGTTTTGTTGCAGATGTTTTTATGCTGTTCAAAGCTATAAAATCTTAAACAAATGAAGTTTTATTTATGGAGCTGATACAATCCATACCAATTAGGCCTAAAAATCAGATAGTAATTGAGCGAGCAATGAGTTGTTATCTATGAGTTAATTTCGTTCAGTTTTGGTATGGTATTCAATCATGTTTATTTGTGTCTATAGATTTTGTATAAGCATGGTATTTTATTGCGCAGAAGTAGTAGTAGTAGTAGTAGTAGTAGTAGTCTTGTCTTTAGTTTCTGGTTGTTTGAGGGTCGAATAAAGTGTCATGAGTAACTACTATTCACCCATGTACATGTCGCAGCATTCACCTATCGACCAGTGTTCTATTCATTGAG